TGGTGCCCACTCGCGTGGACACACGGGCGGCCTGGTGCCCACTCGCGTGGACACACGGGCGGCCTGGTTCCCACTCGCGTGGACACACGGGCGGCCTGGTGCCCACTCGCGTGGACACACGGGCGGCCTGGTGCCCACTCGCGTGGACACACGGTAGGCCTGGTGCCCACTCGCGTGGACACACGGGCGGCCCGGTGCCCACTCGCGCGAACACACGGTAGGCCTGGTGCCCACTCGCGTGGACACACGGGCGGCCTGGTGCCCACTCGCGTGGACACACGGGCGGCCTGGTGCCCACTCGCGTGGACACACGGGCGGCCCGGTGCCCACTCGCGCGGACACACGGTAGGCCTGGTGCCCACTCGCGCGGACACACGGGCGGCCTGGTGCCCACTCGCGCGGACACACGGGCGGCCTGGTGCCCACTCGCGCGGACACACGGGCGGCCCGGTGCCCACTCGCGCGGACACACGGTAGGCCCGGTGCCCACTCGCGCGGACACACGGTAGGCCTGGTGCCCACTCGCGCGGACACACGGGCGGCCCGGTGCCCACTCGCGCGGACACACGGGCGGCCCGGTGCCCACTCGCGTGGACACACGGGCGGCCCGGTGCCCACTCGCGTGGACACACGGTAGGCCCGGTGCCCACTCGCGCGGACACACGGGCGGCCCGGTGCCCACTCGCGCGGACACACGGGCGGCCCCGTGCCCACTCGCGCGGACACACGGGCGGCCCGGTGCCCACTCGCGTGGACACACGGGCGGCCCGGTGCCCACGCGTCACGTGGGCACGGGCGGCCTGCTGCTGCTGCTGCGTCACGTGGGCCGCCACCGGCGGCGCTAGGGGGGCGGCGCCGTCGGGTTTTTAAATACTCGTAGTTTTTATTAATCTTCACTTTGTATTTGTTGCACGCGCACATTTATTTAGCAAATGACAGAGACACGACTTTTGATTTGTTTAGAGTATTTTTTTTTCTAATTGACACTTTTATTAAAATATTAGCTTAAAAAAAAAAGAGAGTGGGGGGGGGGGCAAAGTGATTGCTAAGTCCTTGGGACGGCAGTTCACCCAGCGGCGCCAACCCCCGCCACCAAAAGTCATCTGCGTCGCCGCCGCCGCTGCAAAGTCGACAATCCGCGAAGCTCTTTGCAGCACGCGCTCGTCGCTTACGGCCCTTAGTAGAACCGTTTTCTCTTGCAAAGCAGAGGTTGTTTTTGTTGCTGTTGGGGTATCGAGCACGTAAATGTGTCGTCAAACCCGCCGCCACCACCACCTGACACAGCCAGTCGGTAATTGTTTTGCACGCGAACAAAACGTGGCCAATTCGTCACTGGTTCAGCACCCGCGCCGGTTGCGCGTTGGAGACTGAACCCACTGCAATGTTCACAATTCGAGTTTCGCCGCTAATTGACAACCGCCAGCATCGTCGTCGTCGTCATCATCGGGCGCACTGATCGCTGGCGTAACGCCGCGGGCCACTGGAATTCGTCGGTGCCTAACCAAGCAACGAATTGGCCACGTTCAGAGGTCGCAATCGGGTACCCGATACCCGTACCCTACCCGATACCCGGCTACCCGGCGGGTACGGGTACCCGTTTGCGACCCTGGTGCGGCCGGGTACGGGTAGGCCGTGAGTCACTGGTGAGTCACCGTTTGTCACTCATTTCCCAACGTCTTGTCTCTTCTCACAATTCAAGTTCCTAGAATCAACCCACTCGCGCCTGCAACGTGGCTTCATCCCAGAGGTCGCAATCAGGTACCCGATACCCGTACCCTACCCGTACCCGGCCGGGTACGGGTAGGGTACGGGTACGGGTACGGCTGGGTACGGGTACCCGTTTGCGACCCTGGTGTGGCCGGGTACGGGTACAGGGTAAGGAATCAAAACCCGTTTGCGACCTCTGGCCACGTTTCGTTTACGTGACCAAACCTCACGAATTGGCCGTGTCTTGCGGCACGCGTTCATCTTGACGCGATCGGACCACCCGAACGGACAACCTCGACTGTGGCCAATGTCGGAGCCAGGATTTTCAGGTCGAGGTGTGGGGGGGGCAGGGGGGGGCAGGGGGGGGGGCAACCCCTCCAGCGATGAAAAATGATAGAGGAGTTTTTAGCAAGTGAGGAATTGTCCCTTGCTTTGTATTCGACGCGTGTGCGGCGATGGCGCGGCCGTCGATCGAGGGTTCGATTTCGAACCGCGTCGTGTGATCGGCATCGCGCTCGCTGAAGGTGTCGATGCCTTCAGGGAAGTCGTGGACTGTGTATACGAAACTGCGCACAATTGTGAGTCGCTTATAACTGCTTTGCCGTTACTTATTGCCAATTATGGACTCAGACTATTGTTCTATCATCTCATACAGTCCCTGGCACAATATGCTACACAGTGGCAGTGGGGGTCGCAAAATCCCGCTTTATTACAAATAAACCCCAATGATCCGATCGAAATCCCGAATTTCGATCGGATCATTGGGGGGGGGGGGGGAGCACGTGACCCCCCCACCCACCCCTCCCACCGGCTCTCGCAAGTAACCGTGGCGAACATTGGCCGCGAAAGCCCCTCCCGACTGCGGCGCGTTTAACGCAACCGGATTCGTCGCTAAACTTTGTTCTGTCGCCCGCCCTGGGAGAGAGACGCGGGGCGACGATGCAACGGGTCGCGCAGCCACGGGTAAAACCCGCCGCCGGTATTTTATAGAAAGCGAGCGTGCGTCTACCGTATGCTCTGTATATGTGTGTGTGGAGGGAGAGAGCGAGAGAACGTCTCTCTACAATGTGTACATAGTGGTTTTATTTATGGCTTGTGTATTGCACACGGACAGAGTGTAAAGATAACTATCGGCTTGTTTATTTTGGATTGGGGGGGGGGCTGCTGCTGCACGCGAAGGCGATTAAAAGATTTCTACTTTCACGCGGCGCTTGCGACGTCTCTGCTTGAGCGGGAAACGGCGGGTGGCAGAGGTCGCAACCGGGTACCCGATACCCGTACCCTACCCGATACCCGGCTACCCATACCTGGGTACGGGTATCCGCTTGCGACCCTGGTGTGGCCGGGTACGGGTAGGCCGTGAGTCACTGGTGAGTCACCGTTTGTCACTCATTTCCCAACGTCTTGTCTCTTCTCGCAATTCAAGTTCCTAGAATCAACCCACCCGCGCCTGCAACATGGCTTCATCCCAGAGGTCGCAATCGGGTACCCGATACCCGTAACCCTACCCTGGTCCACACCCGAGACAGCTTTCCTTTGAGTTGTGCGCCTTTTGGCGTCATCTGGTCCAACCCATGTGAGACTAGGCTCTAAGGAAATCTGTCTCGGGTGTGGACCAATCAACTTCAAGGACAGTGCATACATTATCAGAGTTGTGTTTTTTGTTTGCATTATGACTGCAGGTATTGCGGTCTATGTAAACATGACTCCTTGTAAAAAAATGTGTCAGTTTTGTTGCCAGATAGAAGGGTAAAAAACTAATTCGAGCGGTAGCGTAGTGGCGGCTAGCGCTACGCTACCAACCCCGGCGAGTCGAGTTCGATTCCCCGCTCACGGCAAACAACAAGCGACGATTATCCGAACAGTTCCCGATCAAATATCTTTCGGCAGGACCCTCCTGAAAGCGCACTGGGAACGTGGTCAAGACTTTCCGTGATAAAAACAATCCCTTTTAAATCACAATGACAACGCTACACGTATACAGATTTTATTGAAATGGCAGTTATAGAAATGTACGCATTGACTATTGAAACAGCTCGCAAACGCCCTAACGTAATGGGAGCGCGCGGGGTCGTGGTGGTGGTCCAGCAAAAACTAAATAACTTGATAACCCACATGGAACAGAAATGATAAATCGGGGTTTTTTGGGGGCGGGTGCAGATTTTATTATTCAACAACCATAATCCCCCCGCTCCCTGTCTGCCACCAGACCAGATCCAATCGAATCGAGTGGCCACGTGGGAGAAGGGAGAGGGGCAAATGCACCGATTGGTTCGCTTTTTCAGCAATCCGCAGGACGATGAACAGTGACGTGGCAAGAAGACGTCGACTATTTTACACTTTTTCGATTTAAAGCTTTCATGACTGCAGGGATTCATCTTCTTGGTTCTTTCGGTAAAGTCACGTAGAAGGGAAATAATAAAATAATAAAAATAATAAAATAATTCTCGCGACGTTTCGGCCCCAACGCAAGCAGCCGTCCTCAGGTGAAGACCAGGTCTGTCGGGGAGACAGTCATTCAGACGCCGTCTCCCCGACAGGTGAAGACCTGTTCTTCACCTGAGGACGGCTGCTTGCGTTGTGGCCGAAACGTCGTGAGAATTATTTTATTGTGTTTTATTTGTATTACTTTATTATGTTTTATTTCTTAAATTTTATTACTTCCCTTCAACGTGACTTTACCAAAAGAACCAAGAAGATATTTTATACTTGGCTGTTCGCGACCAATATTATCCACGATAAAGTTTATTTTTTTCTCTTTCGGGTTAGATCGCGTAGATATAAACGCAGCCGATTAGGAAGGTTTCGTCACTTAAACATTCACATTTGCTGCGGGTTTACTCTCCCAACACGACTGCTGTGTGCTGAACTTGTCGTAGCCAATCGGCACGCTTTGTTCACGCGACTATACTCCTTGCTAACTGGCCGTGTCGGGTGGTGGCCGCGAGTTTAACGGCATATTTACGTTTACGCGATCCAACCAAACTAAAAAAAACGAACCTCGATTGTGGATGACACTTTGCCGTTCGCCCGTGACACCGAATCGATGGCCTCATTCTCTCCCCCCCCCCCCCACTCGGCAACTTGAAAAAGAGGAGAGCCGTGTAGTTCAGCCAGGGCCTGACCTGCTACAAATTGTCGTAGAGCTTAATAGAGTAAGACGAGACATGATCTCATCCACGCCAGCTCAGGAGCTAAGCCACAGCCATTATGAAACCTCCCCCCCGCCCCCCGCAGTCTGCCCCCCCCCCACATCCCCCCCTACCCCCCCCCCACATCCCCCCCTACCCCCCCCCCCACCGACCCAACCGCCGCTCAATAAGTTTAAGATCGCAGCGTGCCGGCCGCCCCCATCCTGCTGCGTTTCTCCATCGCCCAGCGGCTCCTCTTGAGCGGCTTCGCTCCCTTCTTCTTGTGCCCCGGGCGGGATGTGTCGTGCGCCGGCGGCCTGCGGGGACGACCGTCGTCGTCGCCGTCGGCAGCCGCCGTTGCCGCGGGTCGCGCGGGCGCAGGCGGGCCTACGAAGACGCCCTCGGTGGGGTCTTCGGGGAAGGCGCGGAGGTCGTCGCGGGGTCCGCCCTCCTGCTGCTCCTGCTGCTTCTGCTGCAGCTTCTCCCGCAGCGCCGCCGTCTGCTGCTGGCGCAGCTGGCGACGGTGCTGCTCGCGCGCACACAAAGGGGGGCCCCACCCCCCGTTTCCGAACGGACAACGACAGCTACATTAGTTTTTTTTCTCCCACCGCGCAAAGCCTGGCACGGGCTGCCCGGGGGGGTTGTTTGTCCGTTACGCAGACACCCCCCCCCCCACCCACCGTCCGCTCTGCAACTTGTACCAACCCTCTGCGCGCTTTGGGATATGAAAGCGTGGCGATCTGCGTTTTTTCGTAACGTCTGTGTGCGCGCGCCCTGCGCTCGTGCCCTGCGCTCGTAATGCCAGGGGGGGGGATCGCTCTGTGCCAAAGAGAAGAGTTGACGATCTGCGTTTTACCCCACCGCATCACCACGCCCCTCCACCCCCCCCCACCACCACACCCCCCACCGCCCCCCCCCCCACCACCACCCGGTGCCGGTCGTACCGTGTTGGGGGAGAGGTATTGGCTGTTCTCGTACAGCGTGGGGCCCCCGAAGCTGCCCTGGAAGAGACGGATGAGTTGCAGGACGAAGCGGGGTCCCATCTCCACGAGCTGTCCGTCCTCCTCCACAATCTACAAAGACAAAGATGCCCCCCTCGCCATCTTAGTACAACCTCTAACGGTCCGTCGGGGGCGAGTGCCGTCAGGCGAAGTCGCGAGCAGCGCCACCGCCCTACGAAGGCCGGCACGGCGGCACGCGACGGGGTGGTTGGTTGGTGGCCAGCGTCGTGCCCGCACGCGCGTGCCTACGCGATGAATCTGGTAGATTTGTGGGTGAGGAGGGTGCCGTGGTGGGTGAGGAGCGGTGAGGTTGTGTGGGTGAGGAGGGTGCCGTGGTGGGTGAGGAGCGGTGAGGTGTGGGTGAGGAGTGGTGAGGTTGTGTGGGTGAGGAGGGTGCCGTGGTGGGTGAGGAGTGGTGAGGTTGTGTGGGTGAGGAGCGGTGAGGTTGTGTGGGTGAGTGGTGGTGAGGTTGTGTGGGTGAGGAGTGGTGAGGTTGTGAGGGTGAGGAGGGTGCCGTGGTGGGTGAGGAGCGGTGAGGTTGTGTGGGTGAGGAGTGGTGAGGTTGTGTGGGTGAGGAGTGGTGAGGTTGTGTGGGTGAGGAGTGGTGAGGTTGTGAGGGTGAGGAGGGTGCCGTGGTGGGTGAGGAGCGGTGAGGTTGTGTGGGTGAGGAGTGGTGAGGTTGTGTGGGTGAGGAGTGGTGAGGTTGTGTGGGTGAGGAGGGTGCCGTGGTGGGTGAGGAGTGGTGAGGTTGTGTGGGTGAGGAGTGGTGAGGTTGTGTGGGTGAGGAGGGTGCCGTGGTGGGTGAGGAGTGGTGAGGTTGTGTGGGTGAGGAGGGTGCCGTGGTGGGTGAGGAGTGGTGAGGTTGTGTGGGTGAGGAGTGGTGAGGTTGTGTGGGTGAGGAGGGTGCCGTGGTGGGTGAGGAGCGGTGAGGTTGTGTGGGTGAGGAGTGGTGAGGTTGTGTGGGTGAGGAGTGGTGAGGTTGTGAGGGTGAGGAGGGTGCCGTGGTGGGTGAGGAGCGGTGAGGCTGTGTGGGTGAGGAGTGGTGAGGTTGTGTGGGTGAGGAGGGTGCCGTGGTGGGTGAGGAGTGGTGAGGTTGTGTGGGTGAGGAGGGTGCCGTGGTGGGTGAGGAGTGGTGAGGTTGTGTGGGTGAGGAGTGGTGAGGTTGTGTGGGTGAGGAGGGTGCCGTGGTGGGTGAGGAGCGGTGAGGTTGTGTGGGTGAGGAGTGGTGAGGTTGTGTGGGTGAGGAGGGTGCCGTGGTGGGTGAGGAGCGGTGAGGTTGTGTGGGTGAGGAGTGGTGAGGTTGTGTGGGTGAGGAGGGTGCCGTGGTGGGTGAGGAGTGGTGAGGTTGTGTGGGTGAGGAGGGTGCCGTGGTGGGTGAGGAGCGGTGAGGTTGTGAGGGTGAGGAGGGTGCCGTGGTGGGTGAGGAGCGGTGAGGTTGTGTGGGTGAGGAGGGTGCCGTGGTGGGTGAGGAGCGGTGAGGTTGTGTGGGTGAGGAGGGTGCCGTGGTGGGTGAGTGGTGAGGTTGTGTGGGTGAGGAGTGGTGAGGTTGTGTGGGTGAGGAGGGTGCCGTGGTGGGTGAGTGGTGAGGTTGTGTGGGTGAGGAGCGGTGAGGTTGTGTGGGTGAGGAGGGTGCCGTGGTGGGTGAGTGGTGAGGTTGTGTGGGTGAGGAGCGGTGAGGTTGTGTGGGTGAGGAGTGGTGAGGTTGTGTGGGTGAGGAGTGGTGAGGTTGTGTGGGTGAGGAGTGGTGAGGTTGTGTGGGTGAGGAGTGGTGAGGTTGTGTGGGTGAGGAGTGGTGAGGTTGTGTGGGTGAGGAGGGTGCCGTGGTGGGTGAGGAGTGGTGAGGTTGTGTGGGTGAGGAGCGGTGAGGTTGTGTGGGTGAGGAGCGGTGAGGTTGTGTGGGTGAGGAGCGGTGAGGTTGTGTGCGTGAGGAGTGGTGAGGTTGTGTGGGTGAGGAGCGGTGAGGTTGTGTGGGTGAGGAGGGTGCCGTGGTGGGTGAGGAGCGGTGAGGTTGTGTGGGTGAGGAGTGGTGAGGTTGTGTGGGTGAGGAGCGGTGAGGTTGTGTGGGTGAGGAGGGGTGAGGTTGTGTGGGTGAGGAGCGGTGAGGTTGTGTGCGTGAGGAGTGGTGAGGTTGTGTGGGTGAGGAGGGTGCCGTGGTGGGTGAGGAGCGGTGAGGTTGTGTGCGTGAGGAGTGGTGAGGTTGTGTGGGTGAGGAGGGTGCCGTGGTGGGTGAGGAGCGGTGAGGTTGTGAGGGTGAGGAGTGGTGAGGTTGTGTGGGTGAGGAGCGGTGAGGTTGTGTGGGTGAGGAGCGGTGAGGTTGTGTGCGTGAGGAGTGGTGAGGTTGTGTGGGTGAGGAGGGTGCCGTGGTGGGTGAGGAGCGGTGAGGTTGTGTGGGTGAGGAGTGGTGAGGTTGTGTGGGTGAGGAGGGTGCCGTGGTGGGTGAGGAGTGGTGAGGTTGTGTGGGTGAGGAGGGTGCCGTGGTGGGTGAGGAGCGGTGAGGTTGTGAGGGTGAGGAGGGTGCCGTGGTGGGTGAGGAGTGGTGAGGTTGTGTGGGGGAGGGGGGTGCCGTGGTGGGTGAGTGGTGAGGTTGTGTGGGTGAGGAGTGGTGAGGTTGTGTGGGTGAGGAGGGTGCCGTGGTGGGTGAGTGGTGAGGTTGTGTGGGTGAGGAGCGGTGAGGTTGTGTGGGTGAGGAGGGAGCCGTGGTGGGTGAGGAGCGGTGAGGTTGTGTGGGTGAGGAGTGGTGAGGTTGTGTGGGTGAGGAGTGGTGAGGTGTGTGGGTGATGAGTGGTGAGGTTGTGTGGGTGAGGAGGGTGCCGTGGTGGGTGAGGAGCGGTGAGGTTGTGTGCGTGAGGAGTGGTGAGGTTTTGTGGGTGAGGAGGGTGCCGTGGTGGGTGAGGAGCGGTGAGGTTGTGAGGGTGAGGAGTGGTGAGGTTGTGTGGGTGAGGAGCGGTGAGGTTGTGTGGGTGAGGAGCGGTGAGGTTGTGTGCGTGAGGAGTGGTGAGGTTGTGTGGGTGAGGAGGGTGCCGTGGTGGGTGAGGAGCGGTGAGGTTGTGTGGGTGAGGAGTGGTGAGGTTGTGTGGGTGAGGAGGGTGCCGTGGTGGGTGAGGAGCGGTGAGGTTGTGTGGGTGAGGAGTGGTGAGGTTGTGTGGGTGAGGAGGGTGCCGTGGTGGGTGAGGAGTGGTGAGGTTGTGTGGGTGAGGAGGGTGCCGTGGTGGGTGAGGAGCGGTGAGGTTGTGAGGGTGAGGAGGGTGCCGTGGTGGGTGAGGAGTGGTGAGGTTGTGTGGGTGAGGAGGGTGCCGTGGTGGGTGAGGAGCGGTGAGGTTGTGTGGGTGAGGAGGGTGCCGTGGTGGGTGAGTGGTGAGGTTGTGTGGGTGAGGAGTGGTGAGGTTGTGTGGGTGAGGAGGGTGCCGTGGTGGGTGAGTGGTGAGGTTGTGTGGGTGAGGAGCGGTGAGGTTGTGTGGGTGAGGAGGGAGCCGTGGTGGGTGAGGAGCGGTGAGGTTGTGTGGGTGAGGAGTGGTGAGGTTGTGTGGGTGAGGAGTGGTGAGGTTGTGTGGGTGATGAGTGGTGAGGTTGTGTGGGTGAGGAGGGTGCCGTGGTGGGTGAGGAGTGGTGAGGTTGTGTGGGTGAGGAGCGGTGAGGTTGTGTGGGTGAGGAGCGGTGAGGTTGTGTGGGTGAGGAGCGGTGAGGTTGTGTGGGTGAGGAGTGGTGAGGTTGTGTGGGTGAGGAGCGGTGAGGTTGTGTGGGTGAGGAGGGTGCCGTGGTGGGTGAGGAGCGGTGAGGTTGTGTGGGTGAGGAGTGGTGAGGTTGTGTGGGTGAGGAGCGGTGAGGTTGTGTGGGTGAGGAGGGGTGAGGTTGTGTGGGTGAGGAGCGGTGAGGTTGTGTGCGTGAGGAGTGGTGAGGTTGTGTGGGTGAGGAGGGTGCCGTGGTGGGTGAGGAGTGGTGAGGTTGTGTGGGTGAGGAGCGGTGAGGTTGTGTGGGTGAGGAGCGGTGAGGTTGTGTGCGTGAGGAGTGGTGAGGTTGTGTGGGTGAGGAGGGTGCCGTGGTGGGTGAGGAGCGGTGAGGTTGTGAGGGTGAGGAGTGGTGAGGTTGTGTGGGTGAGGAGCGGTGAGGTTGTGTGGGTGAGGAGCGGTGAGGTTGTGTGCGTGAGGAGTGGTGAGGTTGTGTGGGTGAGGAGGGTGCCGTGGTGGGTGAGGAGTGGTGAGGTTGTGAGGGTGAGGAGCGGTGAGGTTGTGTGGGTGAGGAGGGTGCCGTGGTGGGTGAGGAGTGGTGAGGTTGTGTGGGTGAGGAGCGGTGAGGTTGTGTGGGTGAGGAGGGTGCCGTGGTGGGTGAGGAGTGGTGAGGTTGTGTGGGTGAGGAGCGGTGAGGTTGTGTGGGTGAGGAGGGTGCCGTGGTGGGTGAGGAGCGGTGAGGTTGTGTGGGTGAGGAGGGTGCTGTGGTGGGTGAGGAGCGGTGAGGTTGTGAGGGTGAGGAGGGTGCCGTGGTGGGTGAGGAGTGGTGAGGTTGTGTGGGTGAGGAATGGTGAGGTTGTGTGGGTGAGGAAGGCGCCGTGGTGGGTGAGGAGCGGTGAGGTTGTGTGGGTGAGGAGTGGTGAGGTTGTGTGGGTGAGGAGTGGTGAGGTTGTGTGGGTGAGGAGGGTGCCGTGGTGGGTGAGGAGTGGTGAGGTTGTGAGGGTGAGGAGAAAGCCGTGGTGGGTGAGGAGTGGTGAGGTTGTGTGGGTGAGGAGTGGTGAGGTTGTGTGGGTGAGGAGCGGTGAGGTTGTGTGGGTGAGGAGGGTGCCGTGGTGGGTGAGGAGTGGTGAGGTTGTGTGGGTGAGGAGTGGTGAGGTTGTGTGGGTGAGGAGGGCACCGTGGTGGGTGAGGAGTGGTGAGGTTGTGTGGGTGAGGAGGGTGCCGTGGTGGGTGAGGAGTGGTGAGGTTGTGTGGGTGAGGAGGGTGCCGTGGTGGGTGAGGAGTGGTGAGGTTGTGTGGGTGAGGAGGGTGCCGTGGTGGGTGAGGAGCGGTGAGGTTGTGTGGGTGAGGAGGGTGCTGTGGTGGGTGAGGAGTGGTGAGGTTGTGTGCGTGAGGAGTGGTGAGGTTGTGTGGGTGAGGAGTGGTGAGGTTGTGTGGGTGAGGAGGGTGCCGTGGTGGGTGAGGAGTGGTGAGGTTGTGTGGGTGAGGAGGGTGCCGTGGTGGGTGAGGAGTGGTGAGGTTGTGTGGGTGAGGAGGGTGCCGTGGTGGGTGAGGAGTGGTGAGGTTGTGTGGGTGAGGAGGGTGCCGTGGTGGATGAGGAGTGGTGAGGTTGTGTGGGTGAGGAGGGTGCCGTGGTGGATGAGGAGCGGTGAGGTTGTGTGGGTGAGGAGGGTGCCGTGGTGGGTGAGGAGTGGTGAGGTTGTGTGGGTGAGGAGGGTGCCGTGGTGGATGAGGAGTGGTGAGGTTGTGTGGGTGAGGAGGGTGCCGTGGTGGGTGAGGAGTGGTGAGGTTGTGAGGGTGAGGAGGGTGCCGTGGTGGATGAGGAGTGGTGAGGTTGTGTGGGTGAGGAGGGTGCCGTGGTGGGTGAGGAGTGGTGAGGTTGTGTGGGTGAGGAGGGTGCCGTGGTGGATGAGGAGTGGTGAGGTTGTGTGGGTGAGGAGGGTGCCGTGGTGGGTGAGGAGTGGTGAGGTTGTGAGGGTGAGGAGGGTGCCGTGGTGGGTGAGGAGTGGTGAGGTTGTGTGGGTGAGGAGGGTGCCGTGGTGGGTGAGGAGGGGTGAGGTTGTGTGGGTGAGGAGGGTGCCGTGGTGGATGAGGAGTGGTGAGGTTGTGTGGGTGAGGAGGGTGCCGTGGTGGGTGAGGAGTGGTGAGGTTGTGTGGGTGAGGAGGGTGCCGTGGTGGGTGAGGAGTGGTGAGGTTGTGTGGGTGAGGAGCGGTGAGGTTGTGTGGGTGAGGAGGGTGCCGTGGTGGGTGAGGAGTGGTGAGGTTGTGTGGGTGAGGAGCGGTGAGGTTGTGTGGGTGAGGAGGGTGCCGTGGTGGGTGAGGAGCGGTGAGGTTGTGTGGGTGAGGAGGGTGCTGTGGTGGATGAGGAGCGGTGAGGTTGTGAGGGTGAGGAGGGTGCCATGGTGGGTGAGGAGTGGTGAGGTTGTGTGGGTGAGGAATGGTGAGGTTGTGTGGGTGAGGAAGGCGCCGTGGTGGGTGAGGAGCGGTGAGGTTGTGTGGGTGAGGAGTGGTGAGGTTGTGTGGGTGAGGAGTGGTGAGGTTGTGTGGGTGAGGAGGGTGCCGTGGTGGGTGAGGAGTGGTGAGGTTGTGAGGGTGAGGAGAAAGCCGTGGTGGGTGAGGAGTGGTGAGGTTGTGTGGGTGAGGAGCGGTGAGGTTGTGTGGGTGAGGAGGGTGCCGTGGTGGGTGAGGAGTGGTGAGGTTGTGTGGGTGAGGAGGGTGCCATGGTGGGTGAGGAGTGGTGAGGTTGTGTGGGTGAGGAGGGTGCCGTGGTGGGTGAGGAGTGGTGAGGTTGTGTGGGTGAGGAGGGTGCCGTGGTGGGTGAGGAGTGGTGAGGTTGTGTGGGTGAGGAGGGTGCCGTGGTGGATGAGGAGTGGTGAGGTTGTGTGGGTGAGGAGGGTGCCGTGGTGGATGAGGAGCGGTGAGGTTGTGTGGGTGAGGAGGGTGCCGTGGTGGGTGAGGAGTGGTGAGGTTGTGTGGGTGAGGAGGGTGCCGTGGTGGATGAGGAGTGGTGAGGTTGTGTGGGTGAGGAGGGTGCCGTGGTGGGTGAGGAGTGGTGAGGTTGTGAGGGTGAGGAGGGTGCCGTGGTGGATGAGGAGTGGTGAGGTTGTGTGGGTGAGGAGGGTGCCGTGGTGGGTGAGGAGTGGTGAGGTTGTGTGGGTGAGGAGGGTGCCGTGGTGGATGAGGAGTGGTGAGGTTGTGTGGGTGAGGAGGGTGCCGTGGTGGGTGAGGAGTGGTGAGGTTGTGAGGGTGAGGAGGGTGCCGTGGTGGGTGAGGAGTGGTGAGGTTGTGTGGGTGAGGAGGGTGCCGTGGTGGGTGAGGAGTGGTGAGGTTGTGTGGGTGAGGAGGGTGCCGTGGTGGATGAGGAGTGGTGAGGTTGTGTGGGTGAGGAGGGTGCCGTGGTGGGTGAGGAGTGGTGAGGTTGTGTGGGTGAGGAGGGTGCCGTGGTGGGTGAGGAGCGGTGAGGTTGTGTGGGTGAGGAGGGTGCCGTGGTGGGTGAGGAGTGGTGAGGTTGTGTGGGTGAGGAGGGAGCCGTGGTGGGTGAGGAGTGGTGAGGTTGTGTGGGTGAGGAGGGTGCCGTGGTGGGTGAGGAGGGTGCCGTGGTGGGTGAGGAGCGGTGAGGTTGTGTGGGTGAGGAGGGTGCGTGCCGTGGTGGGTGAGGAGTGGTGAGGTTGTGAGGGTGAGGAGGGTGCCGTGGTGGGTGAGGAGCGGTGAGGTTGTGTGGGTGAGGAGAGCGCCGTGGTGGGTGAGGAGCGGTGAGGTTGTGTGGGTGAGGAGCGGTGAGGTTGTGAGGGTGAGGAGAGCGCCGTGGTGGGTGAGGAGCGGTGAGGTTGTGTGGGTGAGGAGTGGTGAGGTTGTGTGGGTGAGGAGGGTGCCATGGTGGGTGAGGAGCGGTGAGGTTGTGAGGGTGAGGAGGGTGCCGTGGTGGGTGAGGAGCGGTGAGGTTGTGAGGGTGAGGAGGGTGCCGTGGTGGGTGAGGAGCGGTGAGGTTGTGAGGGTGAGGAGGGTGCCGTGGTGGGTGAGGAGCGGTGAGGTTGTGTGGGTGAGGAGGGTGCGTGCCGTGGTGGGTGAGGAGTGGTGAGGTTGTGTGGGTGAGGAGGGTGCCGTGGTGGGTGAGGAGCGGTGAGGTTGTGTGGGTGAGGACGGAGCCGTGGGTGAGGAGAGCGCCGTGGTGGGTGAGTCACAGTAGACCTGCGAGGCCGTGGTGGTGGTGGTGTCGGGCCACAGTGGCGTCGATCGTTCACCTGGAAGTTGCGAATCCAAATGCGGTGGTCGGTGATGGAGAAGGAGAGCACGTGGTCAACAAAGGGCTGGCTCTTCGGGTGGTAGTGCGGCGTCGCAAACGTCTGTAGAAACACACGGCAGAGGTCGCAACCGGGTACCCGATACCCGTACCCTACCCGATACCCGGCTACCCGTACCCTGGTGCGGCCGGGTATGGGTACGGGTGGGCCGTGAGTCACTGGTGAGTCACCGTTTGTCACTCATTTCCCAACGTCTTGTCTCTTCTCACAATTCAAGTTCCTAGAATCGACCCACCCGCGCCTGCAACGTGGCTTCATCCCAGAGGTCGCAATCAGGTACCCGATACCCGTACCCGTACCCGGCCGGGTACGGGTAAGGAATCAAAACCCGTTTGCGACCTCTGACACACGGCCACACGTGGCTCACACAGGGCACATGCGACTAGGCCTCGGCAAGGTAAGGTAATTGTACCCTTTTTACCGGGTAAAAGGGTGAAGGTGTCGACATGCCAAGGGGTAAGGTAAAGGGTAGGGTAAAAGGTAGGCTCGTTGCTTTTAACACTTTTACCTTGCCTTGCCGAGGCCTACATGCGATGCCTGCACAGAGGGGTCCAGGGAGACGCGCGGGGTGGTGGTGGGGGGGGAAGAGGCACGCGCTGAGGGACACACGTGCAGTGAAACACGCGTGTGTCGAGGCACGCACGCACAGGGTGTGGGGGACACACGCGTGGCGACGCGCGTGGAGGGGAGCCGCACGCACCTGTGTGAAGAGCTCCTTGAGGATGGCGTAGTGGGGAAGGGTGTCAAACGTCTACGCGCCGCAGAGGGGGAGAACGCACGCGGGACATTAAGTCGCGATAATCACGCAAGGCCGCGGAACCAACCGACGATTCAACACGTCCATTACCGCCGCAAAGAAAGTGAACCAACGTCACCGCCGCCGTGGGGAATGTGTTAACGTCGGCAACATCGCCGCGAGTCGTTCGAGCAACAGCCGAGTGAGCGGGCATATGAGCAAGTGAGCGAGCGATTGAGGAAGGCGATTGAGTGGGGTGCGCTGGTGAAGTGAGGCGAGTGGGTAGGTGAGTTTTTGAGTTGAGTGGGCAGGTTGAGTGGTCGGGCAAGCATGTGTGTTAAAGGTAGGCCAGGATTTGGCTGCTGTAAATTCCGACGCTTCGTTGAGCTATCATTTGTGATGTCCAGGTCGCGTCTGAAAAAGAAGCTAATAGCTCAGTGGGCCTTACCTGGTAAGATTAAAAAATATACAAAAACGAAACATTGTTTCAAGCGATTTCTTTAACTTTCCTATACTTTGCACTACTATCGAGTTTTTGTACCGTTTGTTCTTGTAACATTCGGGCCCCGTGCCCCTACTGGACATCGGTGAAAGAGCTTCATAGCTCATCGGATTCCGCCAGTATAAATATTGAAAATAAGCGAGTGAATGATTAACTGACGGCTAAGCGAGTGAGTGACGAAGCGGGCAAAGGTACGAATGAGAAAGTGAGCGAAGGAGCGAGCGGGGAGCCGATCGAGTGGGTGGGCGAGCGAGTGATCGGGCGAGTAGGCAAGCGCACGGGTGAGCGAGCGAGCGAGCGGGCACCGACCGGGTCAAACGACAGCAGTGGACGTGACCCCTTGAGGCAGTTCCCCGTCAGCTTGAGCTCCGCCATCGTGTGAACTGAAAAACCGCACGGAAAAACAAACGTCACGTCCGCCTCGTCCAGACGCAGTCCACCAACGCCGCCAGGGCCACACCACCCTGCGTCACCCTCCTTCCTTTGGAGCCGCGATGACGCGCACGCAACAAGACAAGGATCCACCGTGGAGCCTTAACGACAGAGGTCGCAATCGGGTACCCGATACCCGTACCCTACCTGATACCCGGCTACCCGGCCGGGTACGGGTACCCGTTTGCGACCCTGGTGCGGCCGGGTACGGGTAGGCCGTGAGTCACTGGTGAGTCACCGTTTGTCACTCATTTCCCAACGTCTTGTCTCTTCTCACAATTCAAATTCCTAGAATCAATCCACCCGCGCCTGCAACATGGCTTCATCCCAGAGGTCGCAATCGGGTACTCGTACCCGTACCCTACCCGTTACCCGGCCGGGTATGTTTACACACCGCACCAGGTACTCATTTGAGGCTGAAATGACGTAGGGGAGGCCCAGTACCGGTGCAGATCATCGTCACCAGCCGTGAGCGGGAATCGAACTCAGGACACCGGTTCATACCGCGGCACGCTAACCGCTACACTACCGCTCCCCCCAACAACAGCCGCCATTCGCCTCCCAGTGGCGGTGACGTCGCCCACGGCGCTTGTGCCAGGCCAGGTGCACTCCGTGGCCACGCACACCAACACGCAAACACACACAGCCCCAAACGCGCACACAGCCCCAGATGCACACACAGCCCCAAACGCACACACAGCCAAACGCTCACCCCCCCCCCCAAATTCACAAACGTGAACGCGCAAAAAACGCGAGCGTGTCAATACTCACCGTTCTGAACGAGGAACTTTGCCGAGGGCCCATGTGGGACGTTGGAAATCCTGCACGAGGGGCACAACACGCAGAGCGACACCGTCAGCGCGTTCCTTCTTACACGCTTTCATTTAACTCACTGTCTGTTGTTGTTGTTGTAGTATCCTCAAATCTTGTAACTCAATTTTAATGATGACAATACTATATTCTATCATAAAAAATTAAAAATATATATTTTTAAGAGATCTTCTTACACGCTTTCATTTAACTCACTCGCTCTGTTGTTGTCGTATCCTCAAAAAATCTTGTAACTACATTTTTACCCACTTCCCAATGTGGTATCGACTGCAAACTTGGTATACTTATGTCTTACTGATGACAATACTATATTCTATCATACAAAAATCAAAAATATATATTTTTCAACAATATTTTTTACATGTTAAGTTTCGGCTTGGGTCTAATTGTCCACGCTCAACTGAAGTTTGCTGTAAATCACCACGGCCCCTCACGTTGTGGCAAGCTTCGGGGCCACTTCCTGGAGTCGTGGAGTTCTGCCATTACTAATTTAATCAACTTTTTTGGGTTAGATCGCGATCTAACCCAAAAACGTTGATTATGAATATTGGTCGCGAAAGCCTACGTGTTAGTTCTGCCATTACTCGTACGGTACATTTAATTAAAGTGTGTTTTTTTTTAAAAGTATTTTTAAATATTACTTATTTTTTAAATCCTTTATATTAAGTTTGCTTGCTTGCTTAGGACCGTGCAAATCTTTCGGTCGTTTTTTAACCCAATTCCCGTGATCCAATCGAGCTGACATTTTGCATACAGACTCGTTGTGCGTGACAATGCATTTTTTTGAAAAAAAAAATTCCTAAATTTTACACTGTTTAGGGAAATTTTTTTTTAATTTAATTACCAATTGTTTAATGCTGCCTGACAATCATCTGACCAATAGGTGGCAGCCATCTCAAGCCAGAGGACGAGAGGACTCTAGCCACCCCGATGCCACGCATATAAAGGATTTATAGTGAAAAACTTTGTTTTTACGGGTTTACTTGTATCAGACTACGGTTGAACTTCTCAGTGTCGTGCAAATGTATTGAACATTGCTAGACAAGGCGTCCTGCCCCCCCCCCCCCCCCCCCACCACCACCACCACGCTGTGTCCGGTCACAGTCGTTGTGACCATAATTCATCACGCTAGACTTTTATTCCAGTAAAAAATTATTATTTTATATCATGGGACCTCTCCTTTGCCAGTACCAAAATATATTATTAGGGTTTTTCCCCCTTTTTTTCTGGCAACAAAACGGACACCTTTTGCAAGGAGTCATGCTTACATTAACCACAATACTTGCAGTCAAATGCAAATCATCTGGTCGAACACCATATGAGACGAGGCTCTAAAGAAAGCTGTCTGTGGTGTGGACCAATCAGTTTCAAAGGCAATGCATAAATGATCAGAGTATTGTTTTTTGTTTGCATTTGACTGCAAGTATTGTGGTTAATGTAAGCATGATTCCTTGCAAAAGGTGTCAGTTTTGTTGCCAGAAAAAAGGGGAAAAAGCCTATTAGTATTATTTTATACTAACAAAAAAGTGTCACATTTTGTAGCTGCTCACCCCCCGAGCTAGAAATGCTCCGATCATGGCATTGCCTTTGTTATCTGGTCTGACACTGGTGGTGAGACTAGCTTGTGTAGACCAATACGTTTCAAAGACAATGCATAGATGATACTGGTAGGAACCTCCTGGTTACACCAGCCCACAGGGGATTATTGTGTCCGTCTGTCCGTCGTGCAGGGAGGGACTGGGTGGGGAGGGGAGGGTCTGGGGAGTTCACTCACCACATGTACAAATCCATTTTCTTCTTTGCTTCAAAGTAGATGCACTTATTGCAGTTCTTCATCTCACAGATCTGAAGGTGCACACATCACGCGTTTAGCGTTTTGAATAAAACGTATTTTCCCCCGCCAAACATGTTATGTATGTACAGTACACCCTTGTTAATTCGACACACATGGTGCTCTGGCCTTGCCGAATTATCCAATATTCCGAATTATGTACAACAGTACCCCCCCAGTGCCTCCCGCCCCAATTAAAAAAAAAATATCCAAATTTGTTTTCCCAAACTCTTCACACACCATTGACACACACCCCCCCGCATCAATTCTATCCAGAACTTTGGATTTGTCTCGCAGACTTAAGGGATTTATACTTTGATCAATTTCTATCACTTCTTGATGTAGGTGCAGACGACATGTCTCAGAGGGTTGGCTTGCACAGAGCGCACAAAACAAGGTAAAGTCCAAAGCGACGGGTCTGCACCCACGCTCACCACGCTCGCCACGCTCACCGCCACCAGACCGAGTCGTTTTGGGAAATTGGACCGTTCGGTACGGCAATTCGACTCGTGGCAAATTAATAAAACCGTACATATGACGAAAGCGCGGCCGAACCTAATTATCCCCAATTACGAATGATCAAATTACCGAAATAACGAGGTTTTACTGTATGTTCAACTTCTTTCTAGCCGTACGTAGCCAACCGTGCTCATAGGAGGTGCGGGGGAAGGGTACAGCGCAACCTCTCCCCCCGCCCGTGTTACAGAAGGGCCACGGAAGAGGTTACCACAGAACTACTTTTGAGATCCATGCAAGTGAGGGGATGGCTTCTTGGATTTGAACCTACGACCGAAGCATCGTCAGCCTATTGCGCTGGCCGTGCGCGTGTGAACTACACGCATCGCGCGTGGGAGTACATGTGCAAACGTGCCATACGTTTGCACATGTACTCCCACGTATGGCACGTTTGCACCGTACGTATGCGTGTGGTACGTTTACGTACGTGCGTGAGCATGTGTGCGTGTGTGAGCGTGTGCGATTGAGGTGCGTGTTTGGGGGTAGCTCGGCACAACCCCGTGGCGTGCGAAGCCGCATGGCCGGCCGTGCATGTGGTGTTTATATTTTATTGCACGGAGGAATGCGAACGCAAATCACTTTTCTCTACCTCGTTGACCACAAACAGTTTGTCCTTCCTGTCCATTTTTGTGTCTGTAAAAAAATAAAAGGGGGGGGTGGGACACACAAGCAAGGCAACGTCATCAGCGCGTGCATTTTTGGTTTTATTCATCAGACCACTGTTAGACTTGTCAGCGTAGATAGACACATTCCTCCTGCGGAGGGAGCTGGTAGGAACGTTGGGTTGCTCGGTCAATGGCCAGGGTCAACGGCGGCGTGGTGTATTCCGCAAATATGCCCGACTGAGGGCGGGCACAAGCCGGCGTGAGTAGGTTAAACGTTCAGTTTTATAAGGGCACCACGGGGTGACCAGCCCTTCCCCACCAACCCCCCCACCCAGCCCCACCCTCCCCACCCAGCCCCTCCCCACCCTCCCCTCTTCACCCAGCCAAACCCCTCCTATTTTTTTATGCACGACGGACGGACACAATAATCCCCTGTGGGCTGGTGGAACCAGTGGGTTCCTACCAGTATAAAGGTATTTGTTGGGTTAGATGGCGGCAAGTATAAATGTGTCGTTACGGTTTTGACACACGTAAATAAAAAAACCGTACCAATTAGTTATTCACTTCAGCCCACTGGTTGTGTATTTGAGAATAAATTGACAACATTTACAAGTTGAGTAGTGTGCGACGTTTCGCCGGGTAATCACATCTAGCAGCATCGTCGGGCGATTTTGCCAGAATTGTGAATCACGTTTAGAGTATTTGGCTACTGCTGTGAATTTCCATGATAAGCCACTAATTTGAACTATCATTTGTGATAGCCAAGTCGCGCTTCTGAAATATAACAAATTATTTAGTTTTATTTGGATTTTTTTTTAAGCGATTTGTTTACCTTTCCTATAATTTATACTCCTATCGTGTTTTTGTATTCATCTTCTTGGTTCTTTCGGTAAAGTCACGTAGAAGGGAAATAATAAAATAATAAAAATAAAACATAATAAAATAATTATCACGACGCTTCGGCCACAACGCAAGCAGCCGTCCTTCTACGTGACTTTACCGAAAGAACCAAGAAGATGAATCCCTGCAGTCACGAAAGCTTTACATCGAAATGTTTTTAATTGTTTGTTGTTGTAACATTCTGACCCGCCCCTACTGGACAAATCCCATCTGATCCTTCCAGTAGAAATATTCAGATTCTGCATCAACATGAGTATTTCGCTACTGATATCAATTTCTGGAAACGAGCCATTTCGTTGAGTTATCATTCGCGAACAGGTCCCTTCTGAAACCGACCTATGTAACAGCTCGGTGGCCCTCACCCGGCAAAATACATTTAAAAAGTTGAGTTTAGGAAATTCCACGTTCTCCAGACAAGTTCTCCATACCGGGTTTGGAGTGGGGCATGATACTGCGCAGGTCCTGCATCAGGTGCCGCGTGCGGTAGTTGATGCCGCGCGACGAAAAGATCAGCACTCGCTCTTTGTTCGTCCAGCGGCCCTGCGGGAGGAGACGCACGGGTTAAGTCCGCCTGCTTGACTTGCGCGATGTTAGAGAAAACTTTTTGTACACCGCGCGCGGCACATGCTACTGCACCCTCCCCCCGCCGTTATAACGCGGAACGCACCCCGTGAGAGACACAGCAAACTCCAAATATACCGCAGCAGGCAGTCAGCGTCGGGATCGAACTCACGCGCTCCTGTATATCAGGCGAGGGAGTTAACATCTCGCAACTGTGATGATGATGAGAGACATCGCAAACCCCAAATATACCACAGCAGGCATAGTCAGTGTCGGGATCGAACCCATGGTCCCCTGTATACCAGGCGAGGAAGATAACATCATGGAAACGTGGTGATGAGAGAGAGACACCGCAAACTCCAAATATACCGCAGCAGGCATCGTCAGCGTCGGGATCGAACCCACGCGCTCCTGCATACCAGGCGAGGTAGTTAACATCTCATAGTCACCGCGGCACCACTACTTTACCAACGTGCATTGGCCAACGCGGTGATAAGAGGTACGGTAGGAGTCCAGGGGCTGGCAACCAAAACATTTTTTTACACGCTTTTATTTAACTCACTCTTGTTGTATCCTCAAATCTTGTAACTAAATTTTAACCCACTTCCCAATGTGGTATCGACTGCAAACTTGGTATACTTATGTCTTACTGATGACAATACTATATACTATCATTAAACAAAAGTTTTTTTTATTTCTTTCCGAATTCGGGAAAAAAAGCCTCGACAGGATTTTATCAAGGGCCGCAACAAAGCACTGCGGTGAATTCTAGATGGGTCCCTTAATAAATACAACATCGCCTCTCCACCCACCATGATCGGGGCAAGATCATCATCCCTCAGCAGCGGATTGACAAAGTTACAACAATCGTTAAGATGGTTTTTGTTCTTATAGATATATACGTGTGCGTGTGCGTACAAGCAGCTTGATAACTTAAAAATCAAACGCGGTACGTAAACTTGTGAATAGTCTCTTTAACGGAGACGTTGATGAAAGAGCTAATTCACGCTCCGAATGAGTTGACTAAGGAACGAATTAACGCTCCGAATGAGTTGGATCAGGAACGAATTAACGCTCCGATTGAGTCAGCTCAGAAGGAGCGATTTAACGCTCCGAATTAGTTGACTAAGGAACGAAATCACGCTCCGAATGAGTTGACTCATGAACGAATTCACACTCCGAATGAGTTGGCTCAGGAACGAATTAACGCTCCGAATGAGTTGGCTCAGGAACAAATTCACGCTCCGAATGAGTTGGATCAGGAACGAATTCACGCTCCGAATGAATTACCTCAGGAGCGAATTCACGCTCCGAATGAGTTACCTCAGGAGCGAATTCACGCTCCGAATGAATTACCTCAGGAGCGAATTCACGCTCCGAATGAATTACCTCAGGAGCGAATTCACGCTCCGAATGAGTTACCTCAGGAGCGAATTCACGCTCCGAATGAATTACCTCAGGAGCGAATTCACGCTCCGAATGAATTACCTCAGGAGCGAATTCACGCTCCGAATGAGTTACCTCAGGAGCGAATTCACGCTCCGAATGAATTACCTCAGGAGCGAATTCACGCTCCGAATGAATTACCTCAGGAGCGAATTCACGCTCCGAATGAGTTGGATCAGGAACGAATTCACGCTGCGAATGAGTTGGATCAAGAACGAATTCACGCTCCGAATGAGTTACCTCAGGAGCGAATTCACGCTCCGAATGAGTTGCCTTCAGGAACGAATTCACGCTCCGAATGAGTTACCTCAGGAGCGAATTCACGCTCCGAATGAGTTGGATCAGGAACGAATTCACGCTGCGAATGAGTTGGATCAAGAACGAATTCACGCTCCGAATGAGTTACCTCAGGAGCGAATTCACGCTCCGAATGAGTTACCTTCAGGAACGAATTCACGCTCCGAATGAGTTACCTCAGGAGCGAATTCACGCTCCGAATGAGTTGGATCAGGAACGAATTCACGCTGCGAATGAGTTGGATCAAGAACGAATTCACGCTCCGAATGAGTTGGCTCAGGAACGAATTCACGCCCCGAATGAATTAACTCAGGAACGAATTATCCACTAATACAAATAGCGAACGAGTTAACTGCAAGGGGGTGCGAACGAACGCGCGGCAAGGAGCTTAATCGATATAAACGCGCGCAATTTATAACTTATCGAGTAGTAGTCACAGACGGATTAAAATTAACACGCTTTCGGCCTAGTCGACACGAGTAGGGGGGAGAAAGCCTCGGCTCGCCTGACCACGCCGCGGCAAACGGGAGCTGCTCACCCGCGACACGGGCAGAGGGACCACGACCTCCGTGGGCTTCCGGGCATCCTCCTCCTCCGCCTGGCTCTTCTCCGCGTTCTTCCCCTTCTTCGCCTTCTTCGCGTCGTTCCCTCCGTCGTCGCCGGCGATGTTCGCGCGCCGTCTCTTCTTGCCGCCGACAGAGTTCGACTCCAGCTGCTGCCTCATGCGTTGCCTGTACGCGGCCATGTTGGCGGGGAGGGAGGGAGAGAGAAGGGGGAGGGGCCACGCGTCACGTGGGAAGTGACGTCACGGGCGGGTGGGTGTGGGATGGGGTGGGACCTTTAACCCTGGCGGTCAGAATCAGAAAATCTTCATATTTAAATATTCTTAGGTTTTTTCGGTAAAGTCACGTAGGTAAAACATCAAAATTAATAAAAATAAAATAAAGATCACGACGTTTCGGAGGCAACACAAGTCTCCGTCATCAGGTGGGACCGTCACAGCCAGATTAGCTGCATCAAGTGAGGCAGGGATTCAAGATGTAATCCCTTAAAAGCGAGTTGGTTACCACATTCTGATGAGCTCCCCCCCCTCTCCTCCCCCCTCAACTCGCTTTTAAGGGATTACATCTTGAATCATTGCCTCACTTGATGCAGCAAATCTGGCTGTGACGGTCCCACCTGATGACGGAGACTTGTGTTGCCTCCGAAACGTCGTGATCTTTATTTTATTTTTTATTAATTTTGATGTTTTACCTACGTGACTTTACCGAAAAAACCTAAGAATATGAATCATTGCAGTCACGAAAGCTTCAAATCTAGAATGAATGCATATTTAAAGTTGAGGATAAATCCAAGTTTCAAGTTTTCATACTCTAAGGTTTTTTCGGTAAAGTCACGTAGGTAAAAATAAATAATAATAAAATTTAGAAAAAATAATTGAAATAAAATAATGTGATTTCTTATCTTATTTCTATTATTTGTGCTATTATTTATTATTATTTATTTTTTACCTACGTGACTTTACCGAAAAAACCTTAGAGGATGAATCCTTGCAGTCACGAAAGCTTCAAATCTAGAATTTCAAGTTTTCACTTATTAGGTATAGCCCTGTGAGCCATTCGGCTCTTGAATCGGGTTCAACCGCAACAAACAAAAAACTAAAACATGAACAAGAAAACATCTTAAAGTGACTATGTGACTAAGTGAAAACAGAAAATCCAAGAAAAAACGGCAAAATATTGCAGAAAAAGCACCGTACACCAACGCTGTGTGCAAAAATCCCAGTGGGATGCAAGTCAAACAACAACAACAACCACAAGACAACTTAGATTAAGGCCATCAGTTCTACTCCGTACTACAACAAACAAACATGGCCAAACCAAAAAACTTTTCGAAATCACCAAAGTAAAGCCATGAAAGCAATGAAACAGTGATCATAGGAACTGTGACCGAATTTTCACAATAAACGACATAAACAACATGTACTACCAAAACCCTGCAGCCATAGCTGGCTGCATGAGTCACTCCACAACAGCAGGAGCATCAGTCGGAGTATCAACATTTTTCAATGCACCTTTAAGATCAGCACACTAAATCAAAACACAGATCATACTTTGCAGCGATCATCCGAAGCGAAACATTTTATTTTAGGCCACTGAATAGCAGTGGCAGCTAGGGGTGTACGACTCCTCTAGAGCAGTTTTGAGTGAATATCTCATAGGTAGTGACTCAAGTTGCAATTTATTTTTCGATTTAAAGCTTTCGTGACTGCAGGGATTCATCATCTTGGTGCGTTTGGTAAAGTCACGTAGAAGGAAAATAATAAAATAATAAAAATAAAACATTATAAAATAATTCTCACGACGTTTCGGCCACAACGCAAGCAGCCGTCTTTAGGTGGAGAAACAGGTCTGTCGAGAAGACAGAGTTTGAATGACAAGCCCCAGGCTTGGAGCGACTATTTAAGCTGCGATGGAGGGGCGAAGAGCGTCTTGACAAAATAATTTGCATATCAAGAGGAGTTTAGCATATTTATGGGAAATGCAGATATGCGATTAGTACTACTTGTGAAATGCGTAGCAGGTTTGGCGAGGGTTTTAAAGTCATTATGCCCGTACATTATGCAGGATTAGCAGCATCAAAGGGAGGGAGTAAGGTTAGAATTAATAAAGGGAAGGAATGTTAATAATATGGCGCCGCAGCAACTAATGTGCTTATTGACTATACATTGTAATATTACACTATGTATTAACCAACCAACTGTATACCGCACTGCAATTTATTGGCAATAGCATTGCAGACCCTGGAATGCTGGGGGCATCGATAGCAAAGGCCCTTCCCATGAGCTGTCAAGCTCATTATCCCCCTCCAACCCCCCTAATAGATATCCAGTAGGGGGCCACGTGGGTGGGGGGAGTCAGAACGTTGGAACAACAAAACTAAGGCACGCCCTGATAGTGGCATTGTCTTTGGGGCCGTCCATAAATGACGTCACGCAATTTTGGACGATTTTTGACCCCCCTCATCGTCAAGAGAGACCCATAGAATCACACAAAAATTAATAGACTCACACAGAGATCCATAGGCTCCCACAGAGACCCATAGACTCACAGAGACCCATATACTCACACAGAGATTAAGACTCACACAGATATTCATAGACTCACACAGAGGCCCATAGATTCATACAGAGACCCATAGACTCACACAGAGATCCATAGACTTACACAGAGAACCATAGACTCACACAGAGACCCATAGACTAACACAGAGACCCATAGACTCACACAGAGACCCATAGACTCACACAGAGATTAAAAGACTCACACAGAGACCCATAGACTCACACAGAGACCCATAGACTCACACAGAGACCCATAGACTCACACAGAGACCCACAGGCTCACACAGAGACCCATAGGCTCACACAGAGATTAATAGACTCACACAGAGACCCATAGACTCACACAGAGATTCATAGACTCACACAGAGATCCATAGACTTACACAGAGATCCATAGACTTACACAGAGATCCATAGACTCACACAGAGATCCATAGACTCACACAGAGACCCATAGACTCACACAGAGACCCATAGACTCACGCAGAGACCCATAGACTCACGCAGAGACCCATAGACTCACACAGAGACCCATAGACTCACGCAGAGACCCATAGACTCACACAGAGACCCATAGACTCACACAGAGACCCATAGACTCACACAGAGACCCACAGACTCACACAGAAACCCATAGGCTCACACAGAGATTAATAGACTCACACAGAGACCCATAGACTCACACAGAGATTCATAGACTCACACAGAGATCCATAGACTTACACAGAGATCCATAGACTTACACAGAGATCCATAGACTTACACAGAGATCCATAGACTCACACAGATACCCATAGACTCACACAGAGACCCATAGACTCACACAGAGATCCATAGACTCACACAGAGATCCATAGACTCACACAGAGACCCATAGACTCACACAGAGACCCATAGACTCACACAGAGACCCATAGACTTACACAGAGATTAATAGACTAACACAGAGACCGTTAGCCAATCAGAGACGAGGGTTGACGCTGGCCTCGTGCAAAGGCTTTGGGGAAGGGGCGTTGCGGGGGGCGGAGCTGGATGAGGGGGGAAGGTGGGAGGGGGTGATGAGGGGGGGAGTGTGAGGGGGTGGTGAGGGGGACGGTGAGGGGGGTGGTGAGGGGGGTCGGTGAGGGGGGTGGTGAGTGGGGGAAGGTGGGAGGGAGGGGGTGTAAGGGGGGAGTGTGAGGGGGGTGGTGAGGGGGGTGGTGAGGGGGGTCGGTGAGGGGGGTGGTGAGTGGGGGAAGGTGGGAGGGAGGGGGTGTAACGGGGGAGTGTGAGGGGGGTGGTGAGGGGGGTGGTGAGGGGGGTCGGTGAGGGGGGTGGTGAGGGGGGGAAGGTGGGAGGGAGGGGGTGTAAGGGGGGGAGTGTGAGGGGGGTGGTGAGGGGGACGATGAGGGGGGTGGTGAGGGGGTGGTGAGGGGGGTGGTGAGGAGGGTTTGAGGGGGAGAGTTGAGGTGGGGAGTGTGAGGGTGGGTGAGGGGGGGGTGAGGTGGGAGGGAGGGGGGTGATGGAGAGGGGTGTGAGGGGGGGGGGTGAGGGGGGAAGGTGGGAGGGAGGGGGTGTAAGGGGGAAAGTGTGAGGGGGGTGGTGAGGGGGACAGTGAGGGGGGGTGGTGAGGGGGTTTGAGGGGGTGGTGAGGGGGGTGGTGAGGGGGTGGTGAGGGGGGTTTGAGGGGGTGAGGTGGGGAGTGTGAGGGTGGGTGAGGGGGTGTGAGGGGGGCGTGAAGGGAGTGTGAGGGTGGGTGTGGGGGGTTTGAGGGGGTGGTGAGGGGGGTGGTGAGGGGGTGGTGAGGGGGGTTTGAGGGGGAGAGGTGGGGAGTGTGAGGGTGGGTGAGGGGGGTGTGAGGGGGGAGTGTGAGGGGGTGGTGAGGGGGGGTGGTGAGGGGGGTTTGAGGGGGAGAGGTGAGGTGGGGAGTGTGAGGGTGGGTGAGGGGGGTGATGGAGAGGGGTGTGGAGGCTGGTGAGGGGGGAGGCGAGAGGGGGTCTTAGGGGGGAAGGTGGGAGGGGTGGGTGAGGGGGGTGTGAGGGGGGGGGGTATGACTGGGGGAGGTTGAGGAGGGGGTGGTGAGGGGGGTTTGAGGGGGTGAGGTGAGGGGGAGATGTGAGAGGGGGTGTGAAGGGTGGGTGAGGGGGGTGTGAGGGGGGGAAGTGAGGTGGGAGGGGGGTGATGGAGAGGTGTGTGGGGGGTGGTGAGGGGGGGGCAGGTGAGGTGGGAGGGAGGAGGGGGGTGAGTGGGTGGGTGTGTGGGGGGTGGTGAGGTGGGAGGGAGGGGGGTGATGGAGAGGTGTGTGGGGGGTGGTGAGGGGGGGGCAGGTGAGGTGGGAGGGAGGGGGGTGAGTGGGTGGGTGTGTGGGGGGTGGTGAGGGGGGGGCAGGTGAGGTGGGAGGGAGGGAGGGGGGTGAGTTGGTGGGTGTGTGGGGGGTGGTGAGGGGGGGCAGGTGAGGTGGGAGGGAGGGGGGTGATGAGGGGGAGATGTGAGGGGGGTTTAGTGAGGGAGAGTGGTGTCAGGGGGGGGCGGTGAAGGGAGGGGGAGGAGCTTATAAAGTGGGAGGAGCTTGAAGGCAGACGTCGGGACGGCGGGAAGTCACGGACCAATAGGCGCGCGTCTTACTGGGCGAGCGCGCGCGCTCCCGCCAACTCCCCGTCCAATCAGCGACGCGGACAGAGCGAGGTGGGTGGGAGGTTGCCGAAAGCGCTTCGTCATTATCGCGGCGAGGGAGTCGAAACGTTTCAAGCATCAAGCATCATCATCAGCAGAAGCCTTCGCGTAGTCGCAAAGCACCCACAGCCGCGTAACCGTCATGTCCGAGGTGAAGAAGAAGGAGCCGGCGCCAAAGAAGACGACGTCGTCGGCAGCGGACGAGAAGAATCGCAAGGAAAAGGCGTCCGATGAGAATCAGGTCCGAACGCCGTCGTGCCCCAACGCCGCCATTCGCTCCTGTCTCTCTCTATCTCTCTCCCCCTCGCCCCGCGAATCATTCACTCGGTCGTATCGATAACCCTGCTACGGTCGTCGATAGCTAATCGATAAGTGGTTTATCGGCTCAACATCGTCCGGTCCGTGGCCGCGGAGTTTCTTCGCCTCGTGCTGTTGATCGGCGCGTACAGTGCGTACAGTGCCATGACGTTACAGTCTGTAGCGAATGATGGGGAGAGATGGCCGAGGGGATGTTCGCTCACTTTGTCTCTCACTCTCTCTCACTCGCTCACGCTCACTCATGCTCACTCACTCTCTCACGCTCACTCACTCTCTCACTCACTCACACTCACTGTAACGCTCACTCACACTCTCACTCACTCACACTCTCTCACTCTCTCACTCATGCTCACTGTCATGCACTCTTACTCTCACACGCACTATCTCTCACGCTCTCACTCGCTCACTCACTCTCACACTCTCTCTCACTCACTCTCTCACTCTCACTCACTCTCTCACTCTCACTCACTCTCACACTCTCACTCACTCTCACACTCTCTCTCACTCACTCTCTCACGCACTCACTCACTCACGCTCACTCACTCATGCTCACTGTCATGCACTCTTACTCTCACACGCACTCTCTCTCACGCTCTCACTCGCTCACTCACTCTCACTCACTCTCTCACTCACTCTCTCACTCTCACTCACTCTCTCACTCTCACTCACTCTCTCACTCTCACACTCTCTCTCACTCACTCTCTCACGCACTCACTCACTCACGCTCACTCACTCATGCTCACTGTCATGCACTCTTACTCTCACACGCACTCTCTCTCACGCTCTCACTCGCTCACTCACTCTCACACTCTCTCTCACTCACTCTCTCACTCTCTCTCACTCTCACTCACTCTCACACTCTCACTCACTCTCACACTCTCTCTCACTCACTCTCTCACGCACTCACTCACTCACGCTCACTCACTCATGCTCACTGTCATGCACTCTTACTCTCACACGCACTCTCTCTCACGCTCTCACTCGCTCACTCACTCTCACACTCTCTCTCACTCACTCTCTCACTCTCTCTCACTCTCACTCACTCTCACACTCTCACTCACTCTCACACTCTCTCTCACTCACTCTCTCACGCACTCACTCACTCACGCTCACTCACTCATGCTCACTGTCATGCACTCTTACTCTCACACGCACTCTCTCTCACGCTCACACTCACTGTCACGCACTCACTCTCACACTCACTCACTCTCACTGTCACGCACTCACTCACTCACGCTCACTCACTCATGCTCACTGTCATGCACTCTTATTCTCACACGCACTCTCTCTCACGCTCTCACTCGCTCACTCACTCTCACACTCTCACTCACTCTCACACTCTCACTCACTCTCACACTCTCACACTCTCACTCACTCTCACACTCTCACTCACTCTCACACTCTCTCTCACTCTCACACTCTCACTCACTCTCTCACTCTCACTCACTCTCACACTCTCACTCACTCTCACACTCTCACTCACTCTCTCTCTCACACGCGCACTCACACTCATGTTCACTGTCACGCACTCTTACTCTCTCTCACACTCTCACTCACGCTCTCACTCGCACTCTCTCACTCACGCTCTCACTCACTCTCTCTCACACTCTCTCACTCACACACACTCTCACGCTCTCTCTCACGCACTGTTACTCACTCTCTCTCTCACGCTCTCTCACTCTCATTCACGCTCTCTCATGCACACTCACTGTCACACACTCTTACTCTCACACTCTCACGCACTTACTCACACTCACTCTCTCACTCACGCTCACTCACTCACTCACTCTCTCACTCACTCATGCTCACTGTAATGCACTCTTACTCTCACACTCACTCACGCACTCACACTCACTCACGCTCTCATGCACTCTCGCTCATGCCCTCTCATGCACTATCACTCACGCTCTCTCACTCATGCTCTCACTCACTCTCACTCATGCTCACTGTCACGCACTCTCACTCACGCACTCTCACGCACTCTCACTCATGCTCACTGTCACGCTCTCGCACTCTTACTCTCACTCACTCACGCTCTCACACTCTCACTCACACTCACTGTCACCCTCTCTCACGCACTGTCACTCACTGTCTCACTCTCTCACTTACTCTCACTCACACTCACTCACGCACTCTAACTCACGCTCTCACACTCACTCACGCTCCCTCACTCACACTCGCTCTCACACGCACTCTCACTCATGCTCACTGTCACGGTCTCTCACTCATGCTCACTGTCACGCACTCTTACTCACTCTCACGTACTCTCACTCACGCTCTCACACTCACTCACACTCTTTCACTCACGCCCCCTCAATCCTCTCACGCCCTCTCACTCTCTCTCTCTCACGCTCTCTATAACTAACAAACATGGAACGCCATTCACGAAATAACAAACTGCGCTTGTTACGTGAATGTGTTTTTAATACATTTGGCAAGTCGTGTGTGTAGTGGGGAGTGGTAGCGTAGCGGTTCGCCCTGCAAACCCGGCGACCCGAGTTCGATTCCCGCTCACGGCCAACACCACTGACGATCATCTGAACCGGGCCTGGGCCTCACCCTAGGTTGACTCGGCCTCAAATGAGTACCTGGTGCGGTGTGTCAAAAGCTTCGCCACTGGGGAGACAAAGGCGGCCGGGCGTGGTGCTGGCCACCCACTCCCTCGCGAGGCGCTCCGGCCTTCATAGGTGCTGCTCGCTAACAGCACTTGCCCCAGCAGTCTGTTAAGGCTATACGGGGGAGATCTTTGTCTTTGTTACATGCACCACTTGCACCCTGTTTGCCCGTGACTTTGCATGCACTCTTTGACAACCTCTATTTGCCGGTGGCGGTCCCTTACGCACCCAGCTTTGACCACGATTCGCTCATTGGTCTCGTGATATTAAATGTGGCAATTCGTATTAAAACACATGGGTAGGCTTTCGCGACTAAGATTATCCATAATAAGAGATTTTATTGTGGGTTAGATCGCTTCGCCTGGTGAGGCCCGTTGTAGTTACCGACGAAACGTCACTGTACTCGAATTGTTGTGGGTTCATTCTCCAACACTCAACCGGTTAGTGCTGAACTAGTAACGAATTGGCCACGTTTTGTTAACGTGACATCTATAATCGACTTATTATGACATTAATATGTTCTAGACTCGCACGCTCTGTGCTTGTATTAATGTGTGTGCTGTACACAATATACACAACAGTATATACAAGAGACGGGAGCGACGCTCGCAACAAAAAAGAGCGGAGCGCCGGGTGGCTTAAACGAAGCAAGTTGGCACAGTATGGAGCACAGCTGGTGCATCTGCCAGTCATCTCTAAGTCAACATGGGTCTGTTCCGTGATCTACTAAGCAGCGATCCACCCGCACTTCGTGTGGCCTCAAGGTGCACCTAGCCTGGCACAAGCACCGTGGTTACATCGCCGCCACTTGGTGGCGAACGTTGATTGTTTTATACATTACGTAATTTGTACAAGTCGGGGAGACCAGGCCCCAACTTACATATTCGTCTTCTGTTTGGCATTGGTTATTTATAACGTAAAGATATTTCAGTGACGCGACAGCTTCAGGCGATGCGGAATTATTGCCTTCCGCGCCTCAGTTGAATTTGCGAAGTTGTCAGTAAATTTCGCCATTCAACGCAGTTAAACGGCAGCATGCACCACCCAAAACGTCTGGTGAGGAAACCAATGATTGTCTAACGAAAGACGTTAGAAACGAACCCTGAAAAGCTACGCGAAGATACGTGGAGAGATGCCTTCTTGGAATTACAGAATCGGAATATTTATTTGTGCCGGAGGAATGCGATCAGCTGTAAAGACATGTTCACAGATGTCCAGTAGTTTTTCACAGATGTCCAGTAGATTGACAGACATAGGGAGGAACACGCGGATTAGAGAACACACACAGGTTAATGACACCGCTCAAACTGCTACAGGTTCGTGGGCTTCGGCAGGACACGGCGTGAGAAGGGATCGGTTCCATCTTTATTTTACGCGCCAATATCGCCCCCCTCATTAAAGTGGGCATCGGTGCACATTACAGCAGAACGGGAATGGCGCGGGGGGCATGGAGAGCAACACGACCCTCGGCGGCTAACACGGACTGGGAAAAGTGAATTGCAAAGTGAATTGCAGTGTTCTTGGTTCTTTCGGTAAAGTCACGTAGAAGGGACGTAATAAAATAATAAAAATAAAACATAAAATCATTCTCACGACGTTTCGGCCCCAACGCAAGCAGCCGTCCTCAGACCTGGTCTTCACCTGAGGACGGCTGCTTGCGTTGTGGCCGAAACGTCGTGAGAATGATTTTATGTTTTATTTTTATTATTTTATTCCCTTCTACGTGACTTTACCGAAAGAACCAAGAAGATGAATCCCTGCAGTCACGAAAGCTTTAAATCGAAAAATTAATTGCAGTGGTCAGGAATTCTCACTCACTCTCACTCATGCTCACTGTCACGCTCTCTCTTAGGCCCTCTCACTCTCACGCTCTCACTCTCTGTAACTAACATACATGGAACGCCATTCACGAAATAACCAACTGCGCTTGTTTTTCAGTTAATGTGTTTTTAATACATTTGGCAAGTCGTGTGTGTGTAGTGGGGAGCGGTAGCGTAGCGGTTCGCCCTGCAAACCCGGCGACCCGAGTTCCATTCCCGCTCACGGCCAACACCACTGACGATCATCTGAACTGGGCCTGGGCCTCACCCTAGGTTGACTCGGCCTCAAACGAGTACCTGGTGCGGTGTGTCAAAAGCTTCGCCACTGGGGAGATGGGGAGTAGCGGGCTGACGAATGGAACGTGTCCCAGAGAGTACCTCCACGGAGGAGATGGAACGATGAAAAAAGTACCGCGTGCAAGTGCTGGGGTGGGTTGTTACATCACAAGATCGTGAGAGGTAGCTTGGGGGTGGGGGGATGTCTTCATCCAGCAGTGGAGTGACCGTGGCTCACGGTGATAATGAGAACATTTACATGATAACAGTATACCGTGTGATGGGAAAAATGAATTGGTTTTACCCTTTGCTGGCAATTAAAACCGGAGGTGTTAATTCATAATATAGGTTTTTGGGTCAGATCGCGTTATTTATAAATGTGTCATAACCCTCCACCACCCGACACGGCCAAACAGTAAAAAAAGTGTCACGTTTTCAAAGGACAAAATAATTCACTTCTTTAGCCCACCGGTGTGCTGAAGAGATGATCAACAGCATTTTAAATTTGAGTAGTACGACGTTTCGCTGATAATTACAATCAGCTTCATCGGGCAAGAATGGTGAAGCTCTCCTGTTGCTTCCGGTCTTAAATAGAGCAGCAGCATCAGGGTGACGTCATCGTTTAATTCAATTCAATCTGGTGCAGTGATTCGAGGCAAGGAGGGGGGGGGGGGTATTGTAATTATATAGATTGGTAATCATTCAATTGTTATTCATTGGTATTTGTTTCCCTTATAAGGAATTGTCATTGTATTTATTTGATAATACGCTTCCAGGCCGCACTAAGCCTAGGAGGTGTTAAGATGTTCAAACACCAAATATAAACCTTTTGCAAGGAATGAAGTAGATGCATTAACCACGCGCACTACTTGCGGTCAACATGCAAACAAAACATCCTCTGATAATATAGACGATTGGCTTAGACCAGGGACAGTCTTCTTTATGGCCTTGTCTCACCAGTGTTAGACCAGAGAACGACGAACAGTACAGAGGCGATGCAAGTATCGGGGCGTTTATAGCTCGGGCCGAGCAGTTGTCTGGGATACCTTTTTAAATCCTTTATATTAAGTTCGCTTGCTTGCTTAGGACCGTGCAAATCTTTCGGTCGTTTTTTAACCCACTTCCTGTGATCCAATCGAGCTGACATTTTGCACACAGACTCGTTGTGCGTGACAATTAATGTTCGTGACATTTTTTTTCCAAAATTTTACATTTTTTAGGAAAAAATAAATTATATTTAATTACCAATTGCTTAATGGTGGCAGGCAATCATCTGACCCATAGGTGGCAGCCATCTCAAGCCAGAGGACGAGAGGACTGTAGCCGCCACGCATATACAGGATTTATAGTGAAAAACTTTGTTTTTACGGGTTAATTTTGTCAGTTCCGAAGGAGCAGCCAATAATTAAACCGCTGCCTGGATTAATCGTTCACAGATAATCGAAGAATTATACATATAAATACTTATTCTTGGTTCTTTCGGTAAAGTCACGTAGAAGGGAAATAATAATAATAAAAATATAAAACAATAAAAATTCTCACGACGTTTCGACTGCAACACAAGCAATCATCATCAGGTGTGAAATCCACAGCAAGAACATTTGAAAAAAAGAACCAAGAATATGAATCCCTGCAGTCACGAAAGCTTTAAATCAAAAAAATATAAATACTCAATAAGAAACATTACTTTGTAGTAGTAGGTTTTTACCCTTTTAAACTGGTACAAAACTGACACCTTTATTTTGTACCAGTTTAAAAGGGTAAAAACCTACTACTATATTTTGCCACTGGTAAAAGAGATCTCATAGTGTAGAAACATTACTTTATTTTGACACACAGAGAGACAGACTCCTGCTTATATACTGTGCGGTTCGTTTTTTGTCGGTTGCTCCCTTTGTTAATTACCTCTCCCCCCCCCCGCGCCCTCACCCCCTGCGTCCCTTACCCCCACATCGTCATCATCAGGACCTTTCTGATGAAGACAAGCAGCTGCAGGAGGAGCTGTCGCTGCTGGTGGAGCGCCTCTCCGAGACGGAGACCCCCGCCCTGCAGCGCGCCGCCTTGGAGGAGCTGCGCCGTCAGATCCGCAGCTCCACCACCTCCATGACGTCCGTGCCCAAGCCGCTCAAGTTCCTGCGGCCGCACTACGCCGCCCTCTGCGCCGCCTGGGAGGCCACTCCCCCCGGCGAGGAGCGCCGGTTCTGCGCCGACATCGTCTCGGTGCTCGCCATGACGGTGAGCGCCGAGCGCGACTGCCTGCGCTACCGCCTGCGCGGCTCGCAGGAGCCGCTGGCGTCGTGGGGGCACGAGTACGTGCGCCACCTCGCCGGCGAGGTGGCCAAGGCCTGGCAGGACACGACCGAGGAGGACGGCGGCGGCAGCGGCGAATCCGACGGCGTGGCGCCGGCCGGGGGCGGGCGCCCGGCGCTGCTGAAGCTGGTGGAGGAGATCGTCCCGTACGACATGGCGCACAACGCGGAGCCCGAGGCGTGCGACCTCCTCATGGAGATCGAGCGTCTGGACCTGCTGTCGGCGCACGTCGACGAGTCGACGTTCACCAAGGTGTGCCTCTACCTGACGTCGTGCGTGAGCTACGTGCCCGAGCCCGAGAGCGGCGCCCTGCTCCGCTGCGCCCTATCCACGCTGCGCCAGTTCGGGCGCCACCCCGAGGCTCTGCGCCTCGCGCTTCAGCTCAACGACGCCGACCTCATCGCCGACGTCTTCTCGTCGTGCCGCGACGTCACCGTGCAGAAGCAGATGGCCTTCGTGCTGGGCCGCCACGGCGTCTTCCTCGAGCTCAGCGAGGAGCTGGAGGAGTTCGAGGACCTCACCGAGATCATGTCTAACGTGCAGCTCAACTCGAACTTCCTGTCGCTGGCGCGCGAGCTCGACATCATGGAGCCCAAGGTGCCCGAGGACATCTACAAGACCCACCTGGAGAACAACCGCTTCGGCCCCAGCGGCTCGCAGGTGGACTCGGCGCGCATGAACCTGGCGTCGTCGTTCGTCAACGGCTTCGTGAACGCCGCCTTCGGCCAGGACAAGCTGCTGACGGAGGAGGGCAACAAGTGGCTGTACAAGAACAAGGAGCACGGCATGCTGAGCGCCACGGCCTCGCTGGGCCTCGTGCTGCTGTGGGACGTCGACGGGGGCCTGACGCAGATCGACAAGTACCTGTACTCCACGGAGGAGTACATCAAGGCGGGCGCGCTGCTGGCGTGCGGCATCGTCAACTCGGGCGTGCGCAACGAGTGCGACCCGGCGCTGGCGCTGCTCTCCGACTACGTGCTGCACGCGAGCAACACGACGCGCGTCGGCGCCGTCTTCGGCCTGGGCCTGGCGTACGCCGGCTCGAACCGCGAGGACGTGCTCGCGCTGCTCCTGCCGGCGCTCGCCGACGGCAAGGCGAGCATGGAGGCGGTGGGCGTGGCGGCGCTGGCCTGCGGCATGATCGCCGTGGGCTCGTGCAACGGCGACGTCACCTCGGCCGTGCTGCAGGCGCTCATGGAGAAGTCGGAGGCGGAGCTGCGCGAGACCTACGCCAAGTGGCTGGCGCTGGGGCTGGCGCTCACCTACCTGGGGCGCGGCGAGGCCGTCGAGACCATCCTGGCGGCGCTCGAGGTGGTACCGGAGCCGTTCCGCAGCTTCGCCAACGTGCTGGTGGACGTGTGCGCGTACGCCGGCTCGGGGAACGTGCTCAAGGTGCAGCAGCTGCTGCACGTGTGCAGCGAGCACTACGAGGGCAAGAAGGACTCGTCGGGGGAGGAGGGCGCCGACAAGAAGGACAAGAAGAAGGACGCGGCGGGGGGCGGCTCGGGGGCCGACGCCGGCGCGCACCAGGGCGCCGCCGTGCTGGGCATCGCCCTCATCTCCATGGGCGAGGAGATCGGCGGCGAGATGGCGCTGCGCACCTTCGGCCACCTGCTGCGCTACGGCGAGGCGCACGTGCGGCGCGCCGTCCCGCTGGCGCTGGCGCTCCTCTCGGTGTCCAACCCGCGGCTGGGCCTGCTCGACACGCTCAGCAAGTTCTCGCACGACTCGGACGCCGAGGTGGCGCACAACGCCATCTTCGCCATGGGCATCGTGGGCAGCGGCACCAACAACGCGCGTCTCGCCGCCATGCTGCGCCAGCAGGCGCAGTACCACGCCAAGGACCCCAACAACCTGTTCATGGTGCGCCTGGCGCAAGGCCTCACGCACCTGGGCAAGGGCACGCTGTCACTGTCGCCCTACCACAGCGACCGGCAGCTGCTGTCGCAGGTGGCGCTGGCGGGCCTGCTGGCGGTGCTCGTGTCCTTCCTGGACGTGCGCACGGTCATCCTGGGCCGCTCGCACTACGTGCTGTACGCGCTCGTGTCGGCCATGCAGCCGCGCATGCTGGTGACGTTCGACGAGGAGCTGCGCCCGCTGCCCGTGGCGGTGCGCGTGGGCCAGGCGGTGGACGTCGTGGGCCAGGCGGGCAAGCCCAAGACCATCACGGGCTTCCAGACGCACACGACGCCCGTGCTGCTGGCGCACGGGGAGCGCGCGGAGCTCGCCACCGAGGAGTACCTGCCCGTCACGCCCATCGTGGAGGGCTTCGTCATCCTGCGCAAGAACCCCAACTACGACAGCTGAGGGGAGAGACGAGGCGGCGGCGGGTGGAGGGGTGCAGAGAGAGAGAGAGCGGAGTGGGAGGGAAGGAGGGAGGGAGAGACGCAGAGAGGATTGGAGTGGGGAGGAGAGAGAGTGTACGGGTTAGCAGGGAAGAGGGAGGAGAGACACTAGGGAGTAGAGGAGAGGGAGGGAGAGACGGAGAGAGGATTGGAGTAAGGAGGAGAGAGAGTGTACGGGTTAGCGGGAAAAAGGAGGAGAGACACTAGGGAGTAGGGGAAAGGAGAGGAAGGGAGGGAGAGACGGAGAGGATTGGAGTGGGGAGGAGGAGAGAGAGTGTACGGGTTAGCAGGGAAGAGGGAGGAGAGACGCTAGGGAGTAGGGAAGAGGAGTGGGAGGGAAGGAGGGAGGGAGGGAGAGACGGAGAGGATTGGAGTAGGGAGGAGAGAGAGTGTACGGGTTAGCAGGGAAGAGGGAGGGAGAGACGCTAGGGAGTAGGGAAGAGGAGAGGGAGGGAGGGAGGGGGAGAGGTGGGGAGAGACGGGAAGATATCAAGATGGGCGACGGAAGGGAGATGAGGGAGTGACCAAAAGATGCTCCTCCTGAAATCTTCGGAATTTGGATCACATCTTTCACTTCGTTCAGACTCAACTCGGTTTAAGAGTGTGGGGGGCTATGGCACCTTCAATCAAAGTATAACTGCGGTTAGGAAGGGGGAGTCAGCAAGGAGACATGCCTCAGTTGCTGCATAGAAAATGGTTTAGGGGTTGCTTGCAGCCCTGCCGCACAAGGCCACGATCAACACCCTAGGGGGTCTAATCCTCGAGTCTTTACAGCAGTGATTACTCTTTGGTTCTTTCGGTAAAGTGACGTATGAAGGGAAAAAAATCAATAAAATACTAGCATACGACGTTTCGATTGCAACACAAGCAATCATCATCAGGTATGCATAAATGAAATAGAAACACAAATCTAGTATGCTTAGAAATGTAATGTAATACAACAGAGAGTCGGATAACATAACAGGCAACATCCTACCTGATTGATTACGTTCTTCCTGAGAATGCTAAATTTGAGAGAGAGATAAAACACAGAACCAGAGACACATAGACAGACACATTTCATTTATACCTGCTGACGATTGCTTGTGTTGCAATCGAAACGTCGTGTGCTAGTATTTAATTTATTATTTTCTCTTTATACGCGACTTTACCGAAAGAACCAAAGAGTAATTCTTGCAGTCACGAAAGCTCCAAATTAAGTTTTAGAGCAGTGATCCTTAACATTCACTGCAGCCTTTGCAGCCCCTTTGGTTCTCAACCGTTGAAGCAAAAAATTATAATGCAAATAAATACGAAGGTTTGATGAAACAAAGTTAGTGGTACTTTACGTACCCGTGCTTATTTCGTGTTTTCGACGATTTACCTTCTAACGAGACAGAAATCTGGCCAGATCTCGCACACCCCCAGAAAGGTCATCTTGCACCCCCCCCCCCCCCCCCCCCGGTTAAGAACCACTGGCTCAGAGGATGATCTGGCTGAGGGTTATGGAAGGTTTCGGGGCCTTCTCTCACACCCTGCTCGCATTCGCACGATGACTCGGACCTGACGATTCGAGTTTCGGGGGGGAGTTATAGCACTGTTGCGATTTAAGGGGCGAACTAGGATTTGGGGTGGCGTTTTGGGTGTTGAAGGATGGCTGGGGGGGAGGGGGATGGTGGTTGTGACCTGGTAAGACTCGTGGTAAGGGCAATACCAAGTCTGGCTCTCTTACCGTGCGGTGCCCGGGTTTAGAGTTACGGCTAAAGGGTGCCACGGTGGCGAGATGTTGACTACCTCGCCTGGTATACAGGAGGTGTCGTGGGTTAGATCCCGACCCTGACGCCTGCTGCTGCTGTATATTTGGAGGTTGTATGTTCACCCTGTGGTCGCGTGGATTTTTCTCCGGGTCCTCCGTTTTTTTCCCCCCCACCACGTTTAGAATCGGAATCGCGTGGTTTTTTTTGTATTTGGCAACTCGTACAAATTTCCACGTGACGATGAACTGCTTCGCGTCGAGCTTATCGTTTGCGATAGCCCGGGGGTCTTCTGATTTAAATAAAAAGCTAAGCAGCTAAGTGGGGCGTTACCCGGTAAAATAAAATAAAAAACTTTATTGTTTTAAAGTTTCAGTTTGTGTTCCTGCTCTTTCGCAGGTTTACCCCTCCACGGAGGTCACAGTTGCAGATTGAAAGTCGGGTTCAGAGTTTAATCGAGACCGGAGCTCACCTAGGGGTTATTAAACCCCACCCTCCTCCCCCCCCCCCCTCTTTTACACTCGAACCAGACTCGACACGGCTTTGTAAAAACAAAAATACAAATAAATGTACACGATAAAAATATAATGTCATGTTGTGCATTTCAAAAAGCTGCGTCCTCGTGTTTAGATTTGGGGGGGGGGGGGGGGCCGCTCGCTTTGTGGGAATCCCACATTTGTTATGGCTGGGGCCAGGTTATCCGTAGAACAATTGCCTACTGACTTCTCAATGTAGTCCCCTACGTGTTTTATCCACTCCGGAGGGGATGATGGGCTGAGCTGACCGCAGCGCAGGTGACCCCAGCATAGATTGGTCCCCTGCAGCTTAGACCTGTTCCGTCAGAACAGGTGCCGTAGTGGTCACGACGATTGCCGAATCGGTTTCGTCAGGAAGAACAACGTTATATCGCATTTACATTTTGTTCCAAACAAAACCCGCTCGTTTGGAACGGCGGGAATCTTATTCAGAATTGCGGAGTGCCGACGCCTCGACCGGGAAGTCGCGCTTTTACGTGTTGCGGAGATTTTTTTCTGTTTGTTATCACGGTTTGGGAATAACCCACGAACTTTCCTTTACCCAGGATTCGGTGTTGGTCCTGTTCCGCGGTCCCATACCAGCCAACCCATCCCTCCACGCGCATGCAAAGGGCATCTGACGCTGGTCCAATTTACTCGCCTGGTCGTTGACACAGGTGGCCATCGGTTAAGTTTCACTGCTGGGCCTCGTTCCATCAGAGTGCTACGGAAACCCGTGCAAAGTCGCCGCCGCCGCCGCAGATGATTAGATCACATTCTCGTAGCAAGTGGTGGCGGGGGGGGGGTCTGTGTGCGCGCGTGTGCGGTACATTCGGAACTGGATTTGTGCTTCGTATGTATTCGTAGAGGCTTGTGGAAGGGCGGCTGCCTCGGACACGCTAATCCGGCAGTCCCAGCGACGCAGGTGCGCGCGTGTTTCTTTTCGTCGGCAACAAGTAATAAAACGTTTGTACTTGTAGTTGTGCTCGTTTTGGTGGCTTCGTACGCACGCGCGGTCATTACGCCGGCTTGCGTAGGCGGGACGGCGTTTGCCCGAATGGAACGCGACGACGGATGTATCGAAACGGCGTCAAATCGAAGTGGTTTAAGGTCGGCGGAGGCGATGAATGCTGAGATGCGACGGGTAGCGAGAAAGGACTGACGATGCTGAATAATCTATACTGGGTGAATCCGATGAGCCGTTAAGAAGCGCTTTTTCACAGATGTCCGATAGGGGGGCACGGGGTCAGAACGTTAGAACAACAAACGATACAGATACACGGTCGGAGTGCAAAGATACAAATGCGCGGGTTGAGGAGACTCAAATCGGGGTTGCGGTATCGATAAAGCAGCGACGTATTTGCGAAATTACTTAAAAGGGTGGAGAAATGTAAATCGGGGTATGACTAAATACAATCGTCTGTCTTTCAACACTGAGCTATGAGCTTGTTTTTCAGAAGCGACTTTGCTACCACAAACGAGAGCTCAACGAAGTTGTTTATCATCACGCGGACAATTTATAGCAGTAGCCAAATACTCTGAACGCGTGACGTTGATTCTAAACGTGGAGGGGGGGAAACCGGAGGACCCCTAGAAAAATACACGCGACCACGGGGAGAGAGACACGGAAAACTTCATATACAGCAGCAGCAGGCGTCAGGGTCGGGATCGAACCCACGACCTCCTGCATACCAGACGAGGTAGTTAACATCTCCTAACCACCGTGATGATGAGAGAGAGACACGCACACTCCAAATATACAGCAGCAGGCGTCAGGGTCGGGATCGAACCCACGACCTCCTGTATACCAGGCGAGGTAGTTAACATCTCCTAACCACCGTGATGATGAGAGAGAGACACGCACACTCCAAATATACAGCAGCAGGCGTCAGGGTCGGGATCGAACCCACGACCTCCTGTATACCAGGCGAGGTAGTTAACATCTAGCCACCGTGATGATGAGAAAGATACACGCAAACTCCAAATATACAGCAGCAGGCGTCAGGGTCGGGATCGAACCCACAACCTCCTGTATACCAGGCGAGGTAGTTAACATCTCATAGCCACCGTGATGATAAGAGCGAGACACGCAAACTCCAAATATACAGCAGGCGTCAGGGTCGGGTTCGAACCCACGACCGCCTGTATACCAGGCGAGGTAGTTAACATCTCCTAGCCATCGTGGCACTTAAACGGCGGCCTAAGCACATATCCAAAAGATACAATCCTGCCCCTACCCCAAGAGCAACTGTGACATCCATCCACGCCCATCAGCCTCTTGTTGCCGCTTCAGAACCTGGGACAGACTTCGGATGCTGCGGAGGAAGCTGTCGATGGATCGGCTGAATCGACCCCCTGTGATGCTCGCGTGTGACAAGGCGCGTCGATGAGGTCACGTGACACCCAGGTGTCGTGGCGTAGAGGTCACGTGACACGCAGGTGTTGTGACGGAGGGGTCACGTGACACCCAGGTGTAATGACATACAGTATAACACGTGTGTATTTCGACATGTCCTAACATGCACATCTATACAACAACAGCCGCCATTCGCCACTTAAGTGGCGGTGACGTCACAACCGAGCCTGTGCCAGGCCAGGTGCACTTTGAGGCCGCGTCAAGTGTCGAAGGCTCGCTGACAGGAGGTCACGGGGCAGACCCAGCAAGTGCCACGGGTCGACTGACCACTTGTGCCCCCTACTGTGGCAACTTGCCGCGTTTTAACCACCCGGCACTCCGCTCGTTGTTGTGAGCGTCGCTACTCCGCCCTCTGTTGTTGCTGGAAGGCGACTGCCTCCAACTGCCCAGTAGCGTCCTTCACGAGCCTCCTTCACAGAGGCCGATCTTGACACCGCTGGTACCAGTCATCGGCAAGTCCACTCAGCTCCACGTCCTCCTGTACCACATCACTCCGTCTCTTCTCTAGCCCGTGCCGCGAGTGCGCACACGGAGACAATTCCCCCGCATCGGCATAACAGACTGTTCCGGCAAGTGCTGTTAGCGAACAGCACCACGCCCGACCGCCTTTGTCTCCCCCAGTGGCGATGTTTACTACACAACGCACCAGGTACTCCTACGAGGCTGAGTCGACCTAGAGGAGGCCCTGGACCGGTTCAGATAATTGGCACCGGTGTTGGCCGTGAGCGGTAATCGAACTCGGGTCGCCGGGTTCGTAGCGCAGCGTAGCGCTAACCACTACACTACGCAACTGTACACACACGCACAGGTAGTCTAACACACATACAGACACACACACCTGTACAAACACGCACAGGTAGTCTAACACATACAGTCGCACACACACACACACACACCTGTACACACACAGAAGCACACACACACACATGTACATACACAGAGATAGTCTAACACATACATACAGACGTACACACACACCTGTACACACAGACAGAGGGAGTCTAACACATAGACGCACACACACACCTGTACCCACACACACAGAGGGAGTCTAACACACATACAGACGCATACACACACACCTGTACACACAGAGGTAGTCTAACACACAGGCGCACACACACAAACAGGTAGTCTAACACACACACAGACGCACACACACCTGTACACACACCTGTACACACACACAGGTAGTCTAACACATACAGACGCACACACACCTGTACACACAGACAAAGATAAAGATATTTGTGTGTACAGGTGTGTGTGTGCGTCTGTATGTGTGTTAGACTACACACAGAGACACCTGTACACACAGGTAGTCTAACACACACACACACACACCTGTACACACACACACCTGTACACACACACAGGTAGTCTAACACACACACCTGTACACACAGACGCACACACACACAAACAGGTAGTCTAACACACACACATACACACACACACCTGTACACATACAGGTAGTCTAACACATACAGACGCACACACACTTGTACACACAGACACACCTGTACACACACACTTGTACACACACACAGCTGTACACACACACAGATGCACTCTCACACACGTGCTTATTTTTACACACAGACGCGCACACGAGTACCCCCCCCCCCCCCCACCGACTCCCATACACAAGAACAAGTGGCTCTTAACCTCCTTGAATTCTCAATCGTAAAAAAAAAAATGTATAATGTTAATAAACACATCGGGGGGAGTTCGATGAAACGAAGTTGAACTTTACATGCCGGTGATCAATTTGTGTTTTTTCTCTCGATGATTTCACCTTCGCTGGCCACGTCTCGCGGGCCCCCCAGAAAGGTGAATCTCGAACCCCCCCCCCCCCCCACGGGGTTAAGAAAGCACTGAACAATACAGTACTCCCACTCACCACTCACTCACCACACTCACCACTCACTCACCACAACCACCACTCACTCACCACACACTCACCACTCACTCACTACTCACACTCACCACACATCACACTCACCACAACCACCCCCACTCACCACTCACTCACCACACACCACACACCACTCACTCACCACACACCACACACCACTCACTCACCACACACTCACCCCCACTCACCACTCACTCACCACAACCACCCCTACTCACCACTCACAACACACTCACCACTCACTCACCACACTCACTCACCACTCACAACACACTCACCACACACTCACCCCCACTCACCACTCACTCACCACACTCACCACTCACTCACCACACTCACCGCTCACTCACCCTCCCTCACCACTCAACACACACTCACCACTCACTCACCCCCACTCACCACTCACTCACCACACACTCACTCACCACACACTCACCACTCACTCACCATACTCACCACTCACTCACCACAACCACCCCCACTCACCACTCACCACTGACTCACCACTCACTCACACTCACCACTCACCACTCACCACTCACCACAACCACCCCCACTCACCACTCACCACACACTCACCACTCACTCACACTCACCACACACTCACCACACACTCACCACACTCACTCACCACTCACAACACACTCACCACACACTCACCCCCACTCACCACTCACTCACTCACCACACACTCACCACTCACTCACTACTCACTCACCACTCACTCACCACTCACTCACCCCCACACCACTCACTCACTACTCACTCACCACACACTCACTACTCACTCACTACTCACTCACCACTCACTCACACTCACTCACCACTCACTCACCCACATTCACCACTCACTCACCCACACTCACCACTCACTCACCACTCACCACACTCACTCACCACACTCACCACTGACTCACCCTCACTCACCACAACCACCCCCACTCACCACTCACCACACTCACCACTCACTCACCACACTCACCACTCACTCACCCTCACTCACCACTCACTCACCACACACTCACCACACACCACTCACTCACTACTCACTCACCACACTCACCACTCACTCACCACACACCACACTCACCACAACCACACTCACCACTCACTGACCACACTCACCACTCACTCACTCACTCACTACTCACTCACCCTCACTCACCACTCACTCACCACACACTCACTACACTCACCACACACTCACCACACACCACTCACTACTCACTCACCACTCACTCAGCACTCACTCACTACTCACTCACCCCCACTCACCACTCACTCACCCCCACTCACCACTCACCACACACTCACCACTCAACACTCACTCACCCCCACTCACCACTCACTCACCACTCACTCACCACTCACCCCACACTCACCCCCACTCACCACACACTCACCCACCACTCACTCACCACTCACCCCACACTCACCCCCACTCACCACTCACTCACCCCCACTCACCACACCCCCCACTCACAACACCCCCCACTCACCACTCACCACCCAACTCCCCCCCCCACTCACCACCCCCCACTCACTACACTCACCCCCCACTCACCATCCAACTCACCCCCCCCCACTCACCACACTCACCCCCCACTCACCACACACTCACCACTCACCACACCCCCCACTCACCACCCCACACTCACCACACACTCATTCACCACTCACTCACACTCATCACAACCATCCCCCACTCACCACACACTCACCCCCCACTCACCACACACTCACCCCCACTCATCACAACCACCCCCCACTCACCACACTCACACCCCCACTCACCACACCCCCCACTCACCCCCCCCCCCCACTCACCCCACCCCCCCTTCCTTCCTACGCCGGCCCCAGAGTCAACACTCTGCGTTCCGACGCGCTCCCGGTTCCTCTAGAAACAAAGTCGTCAACAAACACATTGCCTCCTCCTCCTACTCCACCTACTCCACCACCATCAGCCTCTCTCTCTGTGGCTCTCACTCACTTTCTGGCTCTCACTCACTCTCTGGCTCTCACTCTCTCTCTCTCTGTGGCTCTCACTCGCTCTCTCTGGCTCTCTCTCTCTCTACTCACCACTCAGCCTCTCACTCTCTGGCTCTCACTCACTCTCTGGCTCTCACTCTCTCTGGCTCTCACTCACTCTCTGGCTCTCACTCACTCTCTGGCTCTCACGCTCTCTACTCACCACTCAGCCTCTCACTCTCTGGCTCTCACTCACTCTCTGGCTCTCACTCTCTCTGGCTCTCACTCACTCTCTGGCTCTCACTCACTCTCTGGCTCTCACGCTCTCTACTCACCACTCAGCCTCTCACTCTCTGGCTCTCACTCACTCTCTGGCTCTCACTCTCTCTGGCTCTCACTCACTCTCTGGCTCTCACTCACTCTCTGGCTCTCACGCTCTCTACTCACCACTCAGCCTCTCACTCTCTGGCTCTCACTCACTCTCTGTCTCTCTACTCTCTCTCTTTTTTTTACGATCAGTGGAAACAAGAAGATGCTCGGTGTAGTCGGCACTTTGCTTCGTTCATCATTTCGTAATTTTTTTTTTAAACTTTGCTTTATATAAACCCCCACCTCTCGCTCACTCTCTCGCTCTCTATCTGGCTCTCAATCTCTCTCTCTACTCACCAGGGGATCTAATACAGCCGTCTTACAGCTACTACACTCGTCTCACTGCTCATCTGTCTCACTACTCATCTGTGTCTGTCTCTCTCTCTCTCTCTCTGTCTCTCACTCTCTCTCTGGCTCTCACTCACTCTCTCTCTACTCACCACTCAGCCTCTCACTCTCTGTGGCTCTCTCTACTCACCAGGGGATCTAATACAGCCGTCTTACAGCTACTACACTCGTCTCACTACTCATCTGTGTCTGTCTCTGCATCTGTGTCTGTTTGTCTGTCTCTCTGCATCTGTCTGTCTCTGTGAATCTGTCTGTCTCTGTGAATCTGTCTGTCTCTGCATCTGTGTCTGTTTGTCTGTCTCTCTGCATCTGTGTCAATCTCTCTGCATCTGTGTCTGTCTCTGTGAATCTGTCTGTCTCTGCATCTGTGTCTGTTTGTCTGTCTCTCTGCATCTGTGTCAATCTCTCTGCATCTGTGTCTGTCTCTGTGAATCTGTCTGTCTCTAACTCTCTGCATCTGTGTTTGCGTCTGTCTGTCTGTCTCTGTGTCAATCTCTCTGCATCTGTCTCTGTGTCTGTCTGTACATCTCTGCATCTGTATCAATATATCTGCATCTGTATCTGTGTCTGTCTCTGTGCATCTGTCTCTGTGTCAATCTCTCTGCATCTGTATCTGTGTCTGTCTGTCTCTCTGCATCTGTGTCTGTGAATCTGTGTCAATCTCTCTGTCTCTGTGTCAATCTCTCCGCATCTGTATCTGTGTCTGTCTCTCTGTATCTGTCTCTGTCTCTGCCTCTCTGTATCTGTGTCTGTCTGTCTCTGTGTCTATCTCTCTGTGTCTGTGTCTGTCTCTCTGCATCTGTATCTGTGTCTGTGAATCTGTGTCAATCTCTCTGTCTCTGTGTCAATCTCTCTGCATCTGTATCTGTGTCTGTCTCTCTGCATCTGCATCTGTGTCTGTCTATCTCTCTGCATCTGCATCTGTGTGTGTCTCTCTCTCTCTGCGTCTGTATCTGTCTCCGCGCACATGCATCTGCGTTTAAACATCCCCGCGTCTCCCCACGTCCGAGCGTCTCTCCACGTCCGAGCATCTCTCCACCGTGGCCTCTCGCCTCTCTGTCCGGTGCGTCGCGGGTCGGGCCTCGAGATCCGTGGAGCCGACAGCGATTGAGGAGACCCCCGAAGCCTCCCGCCTCCAGCCCAAGGGTCACGAGCCAGGGGATGGAGTCCACCAGGTCGCGTCCACCTTCCAGCCAGGTGAGAGGCGCGCCTCGGCTGGAGGTCTCCGCTTGAGCTCCGTCGTGTGAATCTGTGTCACAGCTGAGCGGGTACCGGTACCGGTCCGTGGCCTGTTAGGAACCGGGCCAGGCAGCAGCAGAAGCAAGAGGAGGAGCTCTGCATGCTGATATGAGCTACCCGTCGGAGGCCGTCGGACTGCGAGAAGGGCTGCGTGCAGAACGAGAGAGTGAGCGAGAAAGACAGCGAGAGAGTGAGTGAGAGAGACAGCGAGAGAGTGAGCGAGAGAGTGAGCGAGAGAGTGAGCGAGCGAAAGAGCGAGCGAGAGAGCGAGCGAGTGAGTGAGCGAGAGAGTGAGCGAGCGAAAGAGCGAGCGAGAAAGAGAGCAAGAGAGTGAGCGAGAGAGTGAACGAGTGAGCGAGCGAGAGAGTGAGCGAGAGAGTGACCGAGAGAGTGAGCGAGAAAGTGAGCGAGAGAGTAACCGAGAGAGTGAGCGAGAAAGTGAGCGAGAGAGTGACTGAGAAGGTGAGCGAGAGGGTGAGCGAGTGAGTGAGTGAGTGAGAGAGTGACCGAGAGGGTGACCGAGAGAGTGACCGAGAGAGTGAGCGAGAGAGTGACTGAGAAGGTGAGCGAGAGAGTGAGCGAGTGAGTGAGCGAGAGAGTGAGCGAGAGAGTGAGCGAGAGAGTGAGCGAGCGAAAGAGCGAGCGAGAGAGCGAGCGAGTGAGTGAGCGAGAGAGTGAGCGAGCGAAAGAGCGAGCGAGAAAGAGAGCGAGAGAGTGAGCGAGAGAGTGAACGAGTGAGCGAGCGAGAGAGTGAGCGAGAGAGTGACCGAGAGAGTGAGCGAGAAAGTGAGCGAGAGAGTAACCGAGAGAGTGAGCGAGAAAGTGAGCGAGAGAGTGACTGAGAAGGTGAGCGAGAGGGTGAGCGAGTGAGTGAGTGAGTGAGAGAGTGACCGAGAGGGTGACCGAGAGAGTGACCGAGAGAGTGAGCGAGAGAGTGACTGAGAAGGTGAGCAAGAGAGTGAGCGAGTGAGTGAGCGAGAGAGTGAACGAGTGAGCGAGCGAGAGAGTGAGCGAAAGAGTGACCGAGAGAGTGACCGAGAGAGCGAGCGAGAGAGCGACCGAGAGAGCGACCGAGAGAGCGACCGAGAGAGCGAGCGAGAGGGCGAGCGAGAGGGTGAGCGAGAGAGTGAGCGAGAGAGTGAGCGAGAGAGCGAGCGAGAGAGTGAGCGAGAGGGCGAGCGAGAGGGCGAGCGAGAGGGCGAGCGAGAGAGCGAGCGAGAGAGCGACCGAGAGAGTGAGCGAGAGGGTGACCGAGAGGGTGAGCGAGAGAGTGAGCGAGAGAGAGAGCGAGAGAGAGAGCGAGAGAGTGAGCGAGAGAGAGAGCGAGAGAGTGAGCGAGAGAGTGAGCGAGAGAGTGAGCGAGAAAGTGAGCGAGAGAGTAACCGAGAGAGTGAGCGAGTGAGTGAGCGAGAGAGTGAGCGAAAGAGTGAGCGAGAGAGTGACCGAGAGAGCGACCGAGAGAGCGAGCGAGAGAGTGACCGAGAGAGCGAGCGAGAGGGCGAGCGAGAGGGCGAGCGAGAGGGCGAGCGAGAGGGCGAGCGAGAGAGCGAGCGAGAGAGTGAGCGAGAGAGTGAGCGAGTGAGTGAGCGAGCGAGAGAGTGACCGAGAGAGTGACCGAGAGAGTGACCGAGAGAGTGAGCGAGAGAGCGACCGAGAGAGCGAGCGAGAGAGCGAGCGAGTGAGTGAGCGAGAGGGTGAGCGAGAGGGTGAGCGAGAGAGTGAGCGAGAGAGTGACCGAGAGAGTGAGCGAGAGGGTGACCGAGAGGGTGAGCGAGAGAGTGAGCGAGAGAGAGAGCGAGAGCGAGAGAGAGAGCGAGAGAGTGAGCGAGAGGGTGAGCGAGAGAGTGAGCGAGAGAGTGAGCGAGAGAGTGACCGAGAGAGTGAGCGAGAGAGTGACCGAGAGAGTGAGCGAGTGGGCGAGCGAGAGGGCGAGCGAGAGGGTGAGCGAGAGAGCGAGCGAGTGAGTGAGCGAGAGGGTGAGCGAGAGGGTGAGCGAGAGAGTGAGCGAGCGAAAGAGCGAGCGAGAAAGAGAGCGAGAGAGTGAGCGAGAGAGTGAACGAGTGAGCGAGCGAGAGAGTGAGCGAGAGAGTGACCGAGAGAGTGAGCGAGAAAGTGAGCGAGAGAGTAACCGAGAGAGTGAGCGAGAAAGTGAGCGAGAGAGTGACTGAGAAGGTGAGCGAGAGGGTGAGCGAGTGAGTGAGTGAGTGAGAGAGTGACCGAGAGGGTGACCGAGAGAGTGACCGAGAGAGTGAGCGAGAGAGTGACTGAGAAGGTGAGCGAGAGAGTGAGCGAGTGAGTGAGCGAGAGAGTGAGCGAAAGAGTGAGCGAGAGAGCGACCGAGAGAGCGACCGAGAGAGCGACCGAGAGAGCGACCGAGAGAGCGAGCGAGTGAGCGAGCGAGAGGGCGAGCGAGAGGGCGAGCGAGAGAGTGAGCGAGAGAGTGAGCGAGAGAGTGAGCGAGAGAGTGAGCGAGTGAGCGAGTGAGTGAGCGAGAGAGTGAGCGAGAGAGTGAGCGAGTGAGCGAGCGAGAGGGCGAGCGAATGGGTGAGCGAGAGAGTGAGCGAGAGAGTGAGCGAGAGAGTGAGCGAGTGAGTGAGCGAGTGAGAGAGTGACCGAGAGGGTGACCGAGAGAGTGACCGAGAGAGTGAGCGAGAGAGTGACTGAGAAGGTGAGCGAGAGAGTGAGCGAGTGAGTGAGCGAGAGAGTGAGCGAAAGAGTGAGCGAGAGAGCGACCGAGAGAGCGACCGAGAGAGCGACCGAGAGAGCGACCGAGAGAGCGAGCGAGTGAGCGAGCGAGAGGGCGAGCGAGAGGGCGAGCGAGAGAGTGAGCGAGAGAGTGAGCGAGAGAGTGAGCGAGAGAGTGAGCGAGTGAGTGAGCGAGAGAGTGAGCGAGAGAGTGAGCGAGTGAGCGAGCGAGAGGGCGAGCGAATGGGTGAGCGAGAGAGTGAGCGAGAGAGTGAGCGAGAGAGTGAGCGAGTGAGTGAGCGAGTGAGAGAGTGACCGAGAGGGTGACCGAGAGAGTGACCGAGAGAGTGAGCGAGAGGTGGGGGTTTACATAAAGCAAAGTTTAGAAAAAAAAATACGAAATGATGAACGAAGCAAAGTGCCGACTACACCGAGCATCTTCTTGTTTCCACTGATCGTAAAAAAAGAGAGGTGAGAGCGGTGGGCGAGCGAGCGAAGCTTCATCATCTGTGTTGACGTCCGCTCCCCATCGTTCGCATCCACCACTCCGCCCACCCCCCCGGGTCCGTCAGAAAATTGTCTTCCACGAAAGGTTGGGGACCGCTGGTGTGTAAGGGATTGACGCAGACCTTCACTCTACAGCCGTGTCCAGAGTCTAACCCTAAAACGGCTGGGTGAGTGGCACGGGTTGATTGACGGTTTCTGCACGAACTCCATCGTGTAAGAGATTGACACAGACCTTGACTCTACAGCCGTGTCCAGAGTCTAACCCTAACGGGGCTGGGTGAGTGGCACGGGTAGATTGACGGTTTCCAGTTAAGCTCCGTCATGTAAGAGATTGACACAGACCTTCACTCTACAGCCGTGTTCAGAGTCTAACCCTAACGCGGCCAGGTGAGTGGCACGGGTTGATTGAAGGTTTCTAGATGAGCGCTGTAGTGTAAGCCATGACACAGACCTTCACTCTACAGCCGTGTTCAGAGTCTAACCCTAACCCAGCAAGGTGAGTGGCACGGGTAGATTGAAGGTTTCTGAAGGTTTCTGCATGAACTCCGTCATGTAATGGATTGACACAGACCTTGACTCTACAGCCGTATCCATAGTCTAACTCTAACGCAGCATAAATGACGTCACGCACATAGGGGGGGGGTCAGACATCTGTGACGATGTGTGACGAGGGGAGGGGGGGTGAGAAATGTGACGTCACATCAAAATGCTGCAACTTTAAATGAATACAGACAACACGTTCTACTTAATTAAATAGACTTTGTAATAAATGTTTTCTCCTACAGCATCAGAGTGCAGCGCCACATTAAATACGCACTTTAATGACAATAGTTTAAAGCGATTTAATTTTGATGTTTTACCTACGTGACTTTACCGAAAAAACCTAAGAATATGAATCCTTGCAGTCACGAAAGCTTCAAATCTAGAATTAACGATTTGAAGCAAGTTTTTTTTTGGGGGGGGGGGGGAGGGTCTGACTTTTTGTGACGCCGTGTGACGATGGGGGGGGAGGGGGGGGGAGTCAAAAATCGTCCAAAATCGTCCCAAATCTCGCGTGACGTCATTTATGGACGGCCCCATTGTGTGCGTGCGCGTGTGCAAGTTGGTGTACGTGCACGTGTGGCTCCTGCCGCAGCCGCTGTGGAAGGAGGAGACGAACACGGCGCTGGCACAAGACACCACGCGAGCCGTGTCCGTGGGATTCGTGCGGTAACGGAGCAGCAGGAGGAGGCTGGAGTTCAATCGCACGCACACTCGACTCCACACACACACACACCCCCCTCCCCCCGGATTCTAAAAGAAAACCCATAACCCCAATGATAAACAAAACAGCATTAACCTTAATCAGCAACAAAACTCCATTAACCTTAATCAGCAACAAAACTCCATTAACCCCAATCAGAAACAAAACCCCATTAACCCCAATCAAACACAAAACCCCATTAACCCCAATCAGACACAAAACTCCATTAACCCCAATCAGACACAAAACCCCATTAATCCCAATCAAACACAAAACCCCATTAACCCCAATCATGAACAAAACTCCATTAACCCCAATCAGAAACAAAACTCCATTAACCCCAATCATGAACAAAACTCCATTAACCCCAATCATGAACAAAACTCCATTAACCCCAATCATGAACAAAACTCCATTAACCCCAATCAAACACAAAACCCCATTAACCCCAATCAGACACAAAACCCCATTAACCCCAATCAGAAACAAAACCCCATTAACCCCAATCAAACACAAAACCCCATTAACCCCAATCAGACACAAAACTCCATTAACCCCAATCAGACACAAAACCCCATTAACCCCAATCAGACACAAAACCCCATTAATCCCAATCAAACACAAAACCCCATTAACCCCAATCATGAACAAAACTCCATTAACCCCAATCAGAAACAAAACTCCATTAACCCCAATCATGAACAAAACTCCATTAACCCCAATCATGAACAAAACTCCATTAACCCCAATCATGAACAAAACTCCATTAACCCCAATCAAACACAAAACCCCATTAACCCCAATCAGACACAAAACCCCATTAACCCCAATCAGAAACAAAACCCCATTAACCCCAATCAAACACAAAACCCCATTAACCCCAATCAGACACAAAACTCCATTAACCCCAATCAGACACAAAACCCCATTAATCCCAATCAAACACAAAACCCCATTAACCCCAATCATGAACAAAACTCCATTAACCCCAATCAGAAACAAAACTCCATTAACCCCAATCATGAACAAAACTCCATTAACCCCAATCATGAACAAAACTCCATTAACCCCAATCATGAACAAAACTCCATTAACCCCAATCAAACACAAAACCCCATTAACCCCAATCAGACACAAAACTCCATTAACCCCAATCAGACACAAAACCCCATTAATCCCAATCAAACACAAAACCCCATTAACCCCAATCATGAACAAAACTCCATTAACCCCAATCAGAAACAAAACTCCATTAACCCCAATCATGAACAAAACTCCATTAACCCCAATCATGAACAAAACTCCATTAACCCCAATCATGAACAAAACTCCATTAACCCCAATCAAACACAAAACCCCATTAACCCCAATCAGACACAAAACCCCATTAACCCCAATCAGAAACAAAACCCCATTAACCCCAATCAAACACAAAACCCCATTAACCCCAATCAGACACAAAACCCCATTAACCCCAATCAAACACAAAACCCCATTAACCCCAATCAGAAACAAAACCCCATTAACCCCAATCAAACACAAAACCCCATTAACCCCAATCAGACACAAAACTCCATTAACCCCAATCAAACACAAAACCCCATTAACCCCAATCAGACACAAAACCCCATTAATCCCAATCAAACACAAAACCCCATTAACCCCAATCATGAACAAAACTCCATTAACCCCAATCAGAAACAAAACTCCATTAACCCCAATCATGAACAAAACTCCATTAACCCCAATCATGAACAAAACTCCATTAACCCCAATCAAACACAAAACCCCATTAACCCCAATCAGACACAAAACCCCATTAACCCCAATCAGAAACAAAACCCCATTAACCCCAATCAAACACAAAACCCCATTAACCCCAATCAGACACAAAACTCCATTAACCCCAATCAGACACAAAACCCCATTAATCCCAATCAAACACAAAACCCCATTAACCCCAATCATGAACAAAACTCCATTAACCCCAATCAGAAACAAAACTCCATTAACCTCAATCATGAACAAAACTCCATTAACCCCAATCAGAAACAAAACCCCATTAATCCCAATCAAACACAAAACCCCATTAACCCCAATCAGACACAAAACCCCATTAATCCCAATCAAACACAAAACTCCATTAACCCCAATCAGAAACAAAACCCCATTAATCCCAATCAAACACAAAACCCCATTAACCCCAATCAGACACAAAACCCCATTAATCCCAATCAAACACAAAACCCCATTAACCCCAATCAGAAACAAAACCCCATTAATCCCAATCAAACACAAAACTCCATTAACCCCAATCAGACACAAAACCCCATTAATCCCAATCAAACACAAAACCCCATTAACCCCAATCATGAACAAAACTCCATTAACCCCAATCAGAAACAAAACTCCATTAACCCCAATCATGAACAAAACTCCATTAACCCCAATCATGAACAAAACTCCATTAACCCCAATCATGAACAAAACTCCATTAACCCCAATCAAACACAAAACCCCATTAACCCCAATCAGACACAAAACTCCATTAACCCCAATCAGACACAAAACCCCATTAATCCCAATCAAACACAAAACCCCATTAACCCCAATCATGAACAAAACTCCATTAACCCCAATCAGAAACAAAACTCCATTAACCCCAATCATGAACAAAACTCCATTAACCCCAATCATGAACAAAACTCCATTAACCCCAATCATGAACAAAACTCCATTAACCCCAATCAAACACAAAACCCCATTAACCCCAATCAGACACAAAACCCCATTAACCCCAATCAGAAACAAAACCCCATTAACCCCAATCAAACACAAAACCCCATTAACCCCAATCAGACACAAAACCCCATTAACCCCAATCAAACACAAAACCCCATTAACCCCAATCAAACACAAAACCCCATTAACCCCAATCAGACACAAAACCCCATTAACCCCAATCAAACACAAAACCCCATTAACCCCAATCAGACACAAAACCCCATTAACCCCAATCATGAACAAAACCCCATTAACCCCAATCAAACACAAAAAAAACCATCACGCTTATCGTCCAAACTAAAACCCTAAACACGCAGCCTTCATAGCGGTCTGCTCGCTGACAGCCCTTGCCCCTACAGCCCGTGGAAGGCTACGCGGGGGATCTTTGTCTTTGTGCCGCAGGACTTTGCCGGACTGGCCTCTGCTGGTGGTCCGCAGGCAGGTGGAGCGCGAACTGGACCGGGACGTGACTCAACAATTCATCTTTCTCAAGGGCATGGGACCGCATCTCGTTCATGTGCGTGCGTGCGTGCAAGCTCCCTTTGGGGCCGTCCATAAATGACGTCACGCACCTAGGAGGGAGGGTGGGGGGGGGGGTCAGACATTTGTGACGATGTGTGACGAGGCGGGAGGGAGGTGGGGGGGGGGTTTGAGAAATGTGACGTCACATCAAAATCCACAACTTTAAATAAATATAGACAACACGTTCTGCTTATTTAAATAGACTTTTTAAACACATTCCTCCTGCGGAGGGAGCTGGTAGGAACGTTGGGTTGCTCGGTCAATGGCCTGCAGGGTCAACGGCGGCGTGGTGTATTCCACAAATTTGGCCGACTGTGAGGGCGGGCACAAGCCGGCGAGAGTAGGTTAAACGTTGAGTTTTATAAGGGCACCACGGGGTGACCAGCCCCTCCCCACCCAGCCCCACCCCTCCCACCCCCCACCCAGCCCCTCCCCACCCTCCCCACCCAGCCCCTCCCCACCCAGCCCCTCCCCACCCTCCCCACCCAGCCCCTCCCCACCCTCCCCACCCTGCACGACGGACGGACACAATAATCCCCTGTGGGCCGGTAGAACAAGTGGGTTCCTATTTAATTAAGTAGAACGTGTGGTCTATATTTATTTAAAGTTGCGCATTTTGATGTGACGTCACATTTCTCACCCCCCCCCTCGTCACAAATGTCTGAGCCCCCCCCCCAGGTGCGTGACGTCATTTATGGACGGCCCCTTACGTTGGGCCAACGTTCGTGGAATTGGCGCGTGTTCCCGATTAATGGCGAGCTTGATTCCTCTGCCGCAGGTGAATGTGAAACAGGAGCAACACGTGAAGGTGAAATCCATCTTTTATTCCCTGGTGAGTGTGGAGGAATCCCCCCCCCCACCCCCATGTTCAAAGTGACACACTACACGACCATAGGGAGAGAGAGAGAGACACGCAAACTCCAAATATACAGGAGCAGGCGTCAGGGTCGGGATCGAACCCACGACCTCCTGTACACCAGGCGAGGTAGTTAACATCTCCTAGCCACCGTGATGATGATGAGAGAGAGAGACACGCAAACTCCAAATATACAGCAGCAGGCGTCAGGGTCGGGATCGAACCCACGACCTCCTGTACACCAGGCGAGGTAGTTAACATCTCCTAGCCACCGGGCCTGGTAAAAAAAAAAAAATAATTGTACTTTTTTTTAAAGAGCTCTGTTATCTGGCACCCATTGGGAATTAAAGGGTGCCGGTTAATCAGTATAAATAAATAAATTTGATTCTGAGTCAAATATGCCGGTCACCTGAGCGCTATGCTCACGGTTCACCGCAGTTTTCCAAGTGCGTTGAAGCCTTTCAAGAAAGAAACCAAGCCGACGTTTTAACCGCGGTAGAAGAAATAACAATAGCACTCTTTTTAAATCCTTTATATTAAGTTCGCTTGCTTGCTTGCGTGCTTGCGTGCTTGCTTGCTTGCTTACGACCGTGCAAACCTTTCGGTCGTTTTTTAACCCACTTCCCGTTATCCAATCAAGCTGACATTTTGCACACAGACTCGTTGTGCGAGACAATTAATGTTCGTGAAAATTTTTTTCCAAAATTTTACACTGTTTAGGGAAAACAAATTAAATATTTAATTACCAATTGTTTAATACTGCAGACAATCATCTGACCCATAGGTGGCAGCCATCTCAAGCCAGAGGACGAGAGGACTCTAGCCGCCACACATATAAAGAATTTAGAGTGAAAAACTTTGTTTTTATGGGTTATACTTATTAAATCCTTTATATTAAGTTCGCTTGCTTGCTTAGGATCGTGCAAATCTTTCGGTCGTTTTTTAACCCACTTCCCGTGATCCAATCGAGCTGACATTTTCCACACAGACTCGTTGTGCGTGACAATTAATGTTCGTGAAAATTTTTTTCCAAAATTTTACACTTTTTAGGACAAAAATATTATATTTAATTACCAATTGCTTAATGGTGCAATGCAATCATCTGACCCATAGGTGGCAGCCATCTCAAGCCAGAGGACGAGAGGACTCTAGCCGCCACGCATATAAAGGATTTATAGTGAAAAACTTTGTTTTTACTGGTTATACTTATTATTTCTTGTTTACAGAGATGCTCGGTTGTAGAGCACTCGAAGTTGTTTGTAGAGACGCAGTTGTGGCCTGAGTACAGTTTTCAGTCGTACAGCACCATACGTACATCTATAATCTATCTTCTTGGTTCTTTCGGTAAAGTCACGTAGAAGGGAAATAATAAAATAATAAAAATAAAACATCATAAAATAATTCTCACGACGTTTCGGCCACAACGCAAGCAGCCGTCCTCAGGTGAAGAACAGGTCTGTCGGAAAGACAGCGTCTGACAGACCTGTTCTTCACCTGAGGACGGCTGCTTGCGTTGTGGCCGAAACGTCGTGAAAATTGTATTTTATTATGTTTTATTTTTATTATTTTATTACTTCCCTTCTACGTGACTTTACCGAAAGAACCAAGATGATGAATCCCTGCAGTCACGAAAGCTTTAAATCGAAATCTATAATCTAGTTTTTTTTATTCATTAGGTAACCTACATTACGGATGATATTGGTCGCGAAAGCCTGCGTGTTTAACCGTACGCGCACCGTGCCATTAGCGCCACCGCCACGGCAGCGTCCCAAAGCTCCCGTAAACAACAATGACAACAACAACAACAATGGATCTACGTTGCTGTTCACTATGAGACCTCCTTTACCAGTGGCAAAATATAGTAATAGGTTTTTACGCCTTTTGGCCGTCATCTGGTCCAACACCAATGGAGACTAGGCTCTAAGAAAAGCTGTCTCGGGTGTGGACCAATCAACTTCAAGGACAGTGCATATCATTATCATCATCATCAGAGTTGTTTCTTTTTGTTTGCATTTTGACTGCTTGTATTGTGCTTATTGCAAACATGATGCCTTGTATAAAGGTGTCAGTTTTTGTACCAGTTGAAATGGTAAAAACCTACTACTATATGTTGCTGTTTTGATTTAAAACTTTCGTGACTGCAGGGATTAATCTCCTTGGTTCTTTCGGTAAAGTCACGTAGAAGGGAAGTAATAAAATAATAAAAATAAAACATAATAAAATATTTTATTACGTTTTATTTTTATTAATAATATTTTATTATGTTTTATTTTATTAATAATAAAAATAAAACATAATAAAATATATTATCATGTTTCATTTTTATTATTTTATTACTTCCCTTCTACGTGACTTAATAAAATATTTTATCATGTTTTCTTTTTATTATTTTATTACTTCCCTTCTACGTGACTTTACCGAAAGAACCAAGAAGATACGTTGCTGTTGTTTATATTTTTTCCCCCCGGGGGATAACACGAAGGTAAGATTCGCATTGCCGCTAATGGAGAGTTCCTCATGGGTGTAAATTCTTTCGGAAGGTCCCGGACGAGTCCCCGCCGCGCCCAGAGGTCATCTTCATCCTCCCCGGCTCTGCCCTGCGCTCGCCGAGCCGCCCGCTCTCCCTCCCGTGGGGCAGCCGCCAGACGGGGCGGTGGGACGTGTCCACGCCCCCGAGCCGGGAGCCGGACAACCTCGTCGTCGGCGTCGTCGGTGGCGGTGCTGGAGCTGCCGTCCCGAACAATCGTACGCCTCCTCCTCCTCCTCCCCTAACGCCGCCATCGCCAGCAATGCCGCCGCCGCCGCCACTTCTGACCCCGAGGTTGGAACTCCCAGCGCCGTCCCGCCACCAGGAGGCTGCCCGAGGGGGCGGCGAGACGGCCGCCGGGAACGGGGCCGCCGGGAGAACGGCCGCCGGACGGCGGGGGGGCGGCGGCAACTTGGCCGCTGCCGTGGGAGTGGGGGTTCCCACGACGCCGGCAACGAGCGCGACGCTGGACTCCGGGATCGGCGGCGGTGGTGGCGGTGGCCTGGCGTTGTCGGTGTCGTCGCGGTCGGGTGACGCCCAGATGTACGTAAACTCGCGGGGCGATCCTCGTTTCCAAAGTCCTGTCGTGCCCTTCTGTGGCTAGGAGATGTTAACTACCTCGCCTGGTGTGCAGGAGGTCGTGGGCCCGATCCCGACCCTGACGATGGCTGTTGTATATTTAGATTTTGCGTGTCTCTCTCTCATCATCATCACGGTGGCTAGGAGATGTTAACTACCTCGCCTGGTGTGCAGGAGGTCGTGGGTTCGATCCTGACCCTGACGATGGCTGTTGTATATTTAGATTTTGCGTGTCTCTCTCTCATCATCACAGTTGTGAGATGTTAACTACTTCGCTTGGTATGCAGGAGGTCGGCGGTTTGATCCCCACCCTGACACCTGCTGCTGTATATTTGGAGTTTGCGGTGTCTTCCTCAAGCGTTTTAGAGTATTTGTCTACCGCTATAAATTTCCACGGGACGATGATAAGCCACCGAGTTGAGCGATCGTTTGTGAAAGCCAGGCCGCTTGTGAAAAAGAGCTATATAGCTCAGTGGGGGCCTTACTTGATATAAAAAAAATTGTTTAGTTCTATCTTCTTGGTTCTTTCGGTAAAGTCACGTAGAAGGGAAATAATAAAATAATAATAAAACATAATAAAATACAATTCTCACGAAATTTAGGCCACAACGCAAGCAGCCGTCCTCAGGTGAAGAACAGGTCTGTCGGAAAGACAGCATCTGAATGAGACATGAGTATTTTATTATGTTTAATTTTTATTATTTTATTATTTCCCTTCTACGTGACTTTACCGAAAGAACCAAGAAGATATTTTATTATAACTTTATTATTTCCCTTCTACGTGACTTTACCGAAAGAACCAAGAAGATGAATCCCTGCGGTCACGAAAGCTTTAAATCGAAGTTTAGTTCTAGAAATGGCGTTGCCTCTGGCTCACCGTGTGTCCTCGTAGAGCTTCCCAGAAAACCCGGTGGCTTTAGCTGAGCCGCGTCGTCGGGCCGTGAGCAGGTTCGGCAAGCGGGCGGTGGAAGACGCCGTGACCTTTGCCCCAACCACTGCCGCCCCTGCCGTCCCCACCGCCGCCGCCAGTCATCGCGTTAGGGGAAGGATAAGCGGCGACGAGGTGAGGCTGCCTTCATCGTCGCGGCAACGGTGAAGCTTTCCGCACGCGCTTTGCGTGAGCGTCCGTCCGTCCGTGTCAGGCGGGGTGGAGGTACGGGGACTCCCCTCTACTTACGAACGAGTTTAGGTTCCAGAGGTCTTTGTAAGTCGATTTGTTCGTAAGTACAACTTTACTCCTGTCGATTTCAAACATGTTGTACACATTGTACACGAAACACGGAGAATGGCTTTAAAAGTTGTATAATCTCCTGCAGATGCCACTGGTTCTTGACGTTCTTCAGATGTAGATGCCACTGGTTCTTCACGTTCTGCAGATGTAGATGCCACTGGCTCTTCACGTTCTGCAGATGTAGATGCCACTGATTCTCCACGTTTTGTAGATGTAGATGTCACTGGTTCTTCACGTTCTGCAGATGTAGATGTCAATGGTTTTTCACGTTCTGCAGATGTAGACGCCACTGGTTCTTCATGTTCTGTAGATGTAGACGCCACTGGTTCTTCACATTCCGTAGATGTAGATGCCACTGTATCTTCACGTTCTGCAGACGTAGATGCCACTGGTTCTTCACGTTCTGTAGATGTAGATGCCACTGGTTCTTCACGTTCTGTAGATGTAGATGCCACTGGTTCTTCATGTTCTGTGTAGATGCCACTGGTTCTTCACGTTCTGTGTAGATGCTACTGGTTCTTTACGTTCTGTAGATGTAGATGCCACTGGTTCTTCACGTTCTGCAGATGTAGATGCCACTGGTTCTTCACGTTCTGCAGATGTAGATGCCACTGGTTCTTCACGTTCTGTGTAGATGCCACTGGTTCTTCACGTTCTGTAGATGTAGATGCCACTGGTTCTTCACGTTCTGTAGATGTAGATGCCACTGGTTCTTCATGTTCTGTGTAGATGCCACTGGTTCTTCACGTTCTGTGTAGATGCTACTGGTTCTTTACGTTCTGTAGATGTAGATGCCACTGGTTCTTCACGTTCTGCAGATGTAGATGCCACTGGTTCTTCACGTTCTGCAGATGTAGATGCCACTGGTTCTTCACGTTCTGCAGATGTAGATGCCACTGGTTCTTCACGTTCTGTAGATGTAGATGCCACTGGTTCTTCACGTTCTGTAGATGTAGATGCCACTGGTTCTTCATGTTCTGTGTAGATGCCACTGGTTCTTCACGTTCTGTGTAGATGCTACTGGTTCTTTACGTTCTGTAGATGTAGATGCCACTGGTTCTTCATGTTCTGTGTAGATGCCACTGGTTCTTCACGTTCTGTGTAGATGCTACTGGTTCTTTACGTTCTGTAGATGTAGATGCCACTGGTTCTTCACGTTCTGTGTAGATGCCACTGGTTCTTCACGTTCTGTAGATGTAGATGCCACTGGTTCTTCATGTTCTGTGTAGATGCCACTGGTTCTTCACGTTCTGTGTAGATGCCACTGGTTCTTCACGTTCTGCAGATGTAGATGCCACTGGTTCTTCACGTTCTGCAGATGTAGATGCCACTGGTTCTTCACGTTCTGTGTAGATGCCACTGGTTCTTCACGTTCTGCAGATGTAGATGCCACTGGTTCTTCACGTTCTGTGTAGATGCCACTGGTTCTTCACGTTCTGCAGATGTAGATGCCACTGGTTCTTCACGTTCTGCAGATGTAGATGCCACTGGTTCTTCACGTTCTGCAGATGTAGATGCCACTGGTCCTTAACGTTCTGCAGATGTAGATGCCACTGGTTCTTCACGTTCTGCAGATGTAGATGCCACTGGTCCTTAACGTTCTGCAGATGTAGATGCCACTGGTTCTTCACGTTCTGCAGATGTAGACGTCACGACCGTAGCTCATCGTACTCCTCCGGCACGAATAGAAGATTCCGATATTAGGAAGCCACCGGAGCCAGGCCACTTTTAAATCGTCGACATTGAAAACCAATTTCTTTAGAGCTGCTTGTTGTTGTCGCGTTTAGTTTGTCGTCCTTCCCCCGCCGCACCTCCGATTAGCGCGGTTGACCACGTGCGGCGCGAAAGAAGTTCGCTATTTGCGTATTGGTCGGGGTGGGATGCACCGAAGGCCACGAGGGGCTGCCAGTGGCGGGCCGCATGGGGCAGCAATCGCCAGAATGACTCGCGTTGTCTGTGTCGCGCAGGACTCGGACTCGGACGATGTCACCTCGTCCGACAGCATGGTGCTGCCACCGCCCCCCGCGCTGAGAATCACCATCGCAGCTCCCGCCGCCACCGCCGAACCGCCACCGTCCGTGACCCCGCGGCGACCCGAGGTCACCGCCCCGGCAGGGACGAGGGCGAAGGTCGCGACCCCTCCGCCACCGAGGAGAGCGAACGGTGGCGGCGGTGGTGGCGAGGAATCGGCTCCGGATGACGGTTTCCCCGTCGCGCCTCCTCCGCCGCCTCCTCCTCCTGCATTTGTGGCGGGCGGCGGGCGAGACGCTGGGGAGAACGGAGGGAAGGACGCGGGGCGGTACAGCAACAAGGACGGCGGGAAGGACGGAGGGGCTCAGGGAGGGGGCGGCCGTCATGCGGATTTTACCCACGGGGCCGAGCGGCGGGGCCTTGCCGGCGAGCACGGAGCCGCGGGAGAGGAGACCGACGAGGGTGAGTTTCAGATTGTGGATTTGTACAAATAAAATGAAAATAATCCTAGATTTGAAGCTTTCGTGACCGCAAGGATTCATACTCTTAGTTCTTTCGGTAAAGTCACGTAGGTAAAAAAAATTTAATTAAAATTAATAAAACATAAAATAATAAAAATCACGACGTTTCGGAGGCAACACAAGTGATCAAGTGATGCAGCAAATCTGGCTGTGACGGTCCCACACTGATGACGGAGACTTGTGTTGCCTCCGAAACGTCGTGATTTTTATTGTTTGACGTTTTATTAATTTTAATTTCATTTTTTACCTACATGGTGACTTTACCGAAAGAACGATGGCATGTGGAGGAGGCGGGAGGTCGACAACTTGAATCCGGTGGCAACAACGACGACGCAGCTCTTAAGTATTTGTGCGCGTCAAAACAAATTCTCGCAGTTGAACCACGTGGCGGGGACCCCCCCCGGGGTCTCACGTAAGTCCCCCGGCTCTCTCGCACAAACTGCGTTGCGACGTCAAAGTCGTACGTCTGTTGAAGGCGAACGACGCGGCAATCTATTCCTCTCGATGAGCTTGACGCGATGCGATAATCAAAGTTTTGTTTCTTCTGCGCATTCGTGCTCGCTGCTGCTGCTTGGACATGACAACAGGATGATCCGTGCCAGGTGGGTCGCGGCGTTTATGTGCGCGGTGGGACGGAGTCACCAAATTTTTTTTTTATTAATTACGATTTCTAATTCCGTTTATTCGGGACCCCGAGGTCCCGCTATAGGGCTCCATTCGCCTGTGGCTTCGGGTGAATTATATGAATGGGTGAATTAATGAATGAGTGAATTCATGAACGGGTGAATTAATGAACGGGTTAATTCATGAACGGGTTAATTCATGAAAGGGTGAATTCATGAACGGCTGAATTCATGAACGGGTTAATTCATGAAAGGGTGAATTAATGAACGGGTGAATTCATGAACAGGTGAATTAATGAACGGGTGAATTCATGAACGGGTGAATTAACGAACGGGTGACGATTGTCTGTACCGGTCCTGGTCGCGGTGCCGAGATGTTAACTACCTCGCCTGGTGTACAGGAGGTGGTGGGTTCGATCCCAACCCTGACGCCTGCTGCTGCATATTTGGAGTTTGCGTGTCTCTCTCTTCTTGCGATCGTGGGGATTTTTCTCCAGGGCCTCCCGTTTTTCCCAAATACTCTAAACGTGCGTTTCGAGTATTTGGCCGCTACACATTTCCACATCGCGATAATAAGCCGCTTCTCATTGGCGCTACCATTTGTCATAACCAGGTCGCTTCTGAAAAAGAACTATGGCAAAGTAAACAAAGATGTTAGTTTCATTTAGACTCGGTGCGGTGTGTAGACATCGCCGCCGGGGAGACAAACGCGGCCGGACGTGGTGTCCTCCCACGCCCACTCCCTCGTGTGCCGTGCCGGCCTTCGTGGGTGCTGCTCGCTAAAGGCACTTTGACCCCGACGACCTTCATTTTCAAATTTAAGTTCATTTATTAGGTATAGCCTTGTGAGCCATTCGGCTCTTGAACCTGCTGGGCTCCACGCGGAGGGAAAGAAAACCCTCCTGTCCATCTTCTCTGCAGGTCGCGTGCGCCAGCCGGCGACGGAGCCGGAGCCGGAGCTGGCGGCGAAGGAGCTGTCGGAGCTGCAGGACGAGCGCAGGGAGATGGAGCGCCACCGCCGGGAGCTCGTGGCGCGGATCAAAGAGACGCGCGCCGCCATGCACGCGCGACGCGCCGAAGGTACGCGGCGAAATGACGCACGCGCGCCCAGAACACTCTGGAACTATCTTCTTGGTTCTTTCGGTAAAGTCAGGTAGAAGGAAAATAATGAAATAATAAAAATAGAACATAATAAAATAAAAATTCTCACGACGTTTTGGCCACAACGCAAGCAGCCGTGTATATGTGTGTGTGTGTATGTGTGTGTGTGTCTGTGTATGTGTGTATCTGTGTGTGTGTATCTGTGTGTATCTGTATGTGTGTGTGTATGTGTGTGTGTATCTGTGTGTATCTGTATGTGTGTGTGTATGTGTGTGTGTATCTGTGTGTGTGTATCTGTATGTGTGTGTGTATCTGTGGGTGTGTATCTGTGTGTGTGTATGTGTGTATGTGTGTATTTGTGTGTGTGTATGTGTATCTGTGTGTGTGTATCTGTGTGTGTGTGTGTATCTGTATCTGTGTATGTGTGTATCTGTGTGTATGTGTGTATCTGTATCTGTGTATGTGTATCTGTATGTGTGTATCTGTGTGTGTATCTGTATCTATGTGTGTGTATCTGTGTGTGTGTATCTGCTTTGGGTACGCGGTCCAGACCTCCCCAGAAACCCTGGCTGACAGAGGAGGTGTTCAGGTTAATTGAGAAAAAGCGTCAGGCCCACTCTCATCGCCTACAGCATCCCACGTCAGAGAATGAGGAGGTTTACCGCAGCCTTCGCTCAGAAGTTCGGAGAGCCGTAAGGCGCTGTAAGGATGGGTGGTGGTCGCGGGTTGCTGAGGAGATGGAGTCTGCCTCAGTGGCCCGTGATCACAAATCACTATTTAACTCCATCAAAAAAGTAACCTGCAGCGCCACACCTATTACCATCATTAGAGGAAAAAACGGTGATCCAATCTCCGACCCCCAGGAACAGGTTTGCAGATTTGCTGAGCATTTCTGTGAGGTCCTGGGGGAGGGAAATTCTCTCAGCCAGGAAAACATCATGGCACAAAGTGGTGATAACCCTGCTGAGGCTGCGGTGCCTCAAATATTGGAAGAGGTCACCCCCTGTGAGTGGCTGGCTGAGGTGCCAGCTGTTGAGGAAGTACTGAGGGCGATCCGGAGTCTGAGACCAGGGAAGGCATCGGGCAGAGATGATCTCCCAAGCGAAATGCTGAGGGAGGGTGGCGTTTGTGCACAGACTGCCCTATATGACATCATAACAACAGTCTGGACCACTGGACAGGGTTCCGCAGGACTGGAAGGATGCCCTGGTGGTTCCCCTCTTTAAGAAGGGGGACCGTACCGACTGTAACAACTACAGGGGCATCTCACTCCTCAGTGTGCCGGGTAAGGTCCTGGCAAGGATTATTCAACATCGCCTTGCTAGGCACGCTGAGGAGAGGCTTGCGGAGCCCCAATGCGGTTTCAGGAAAGGGCGGTCCTGCACAGATGCCATATTTTCTGTCCGTCTGCTACAGCAGAGGTGTAGGGAATTCCAAAAAGACCTACATCTCTGCTTTATTGACCTGGTCAAGGCCTATGATACCATCAGTAGGCCTGGGCTCTGGGTTGTTCTTCGTGCTTTCGGAGTCCCTGACCCTCTGCTCACGATCATTAAGGACCTTCATGATGGTGAGCGGGCCCGGGTAAAACTACGTGGCCGGGAGTCGGAGCCTTTCCCTGTACACCTTGGGGTGCGACAGGGATGTCCTCTGGCTCCCACATTATTTAACATCTATTTTGACCGCGTAGTTCGTGAAGCCTTCAATAGCTGTACCGGGGGAATTTCCATTTGGTACAGATATAATGGGAGGCTGATTGACGCCCGGGTGCGATCAAGGGATGGCTCCCTATTGGTCAACCACGTTATGTATGCCGATGATTTGGTAATAGCTGCTCACTCAGAGGAGGAGTTGGAGACGCTGCTGCTGAGACTGGAGCGTGCCACTAAGAGGTGGGGCCTTACCATCAGCCCCACCAAAACTAAGCACCTGCCTGGGTATTTTGTACCATCGGACACTCCACCCCCACAACTCCCAATTGGTGATGGGGCAGTTGTGGAGAGAGTGGAGAGTTTCCCATACCTGGGCAGTGTGCTTATGACCGGCTCCAGTCTATCAGCAGAGGTCTCACTCCGAATCAGTCGAGCGGCAATATCTTTTCATCGGTTGCGTAACGCTGTGTGGAAGCTACCTGGTCTGTCGCTCCGCACGAAGCTTCAGGTCTTCTCGGCCGCGGTCATTCCCTCCCTTCTCTACGCTTGCGAGACGTGGACCCCCCTGGTGGAGCATCTTCGCCGGTTGGAAACATTTAGGCTGGCCTGCCTACGATCCATCCTGGGTTTAACCAGGCTGGATTGTGTGAGGAGCTCACAAATCCTTGAAAGATCTGGGCAAAGTCCCATCAGTGAGCTCCTCCGGCAGGCAAGGCTGCGTTGGCTGGGTCATGTAGCCCGCATGCCCAGCCACCGCATGCCTAAACAGCTTTTGTTCGGCCGGATCGAGGGGGCTGGACGGGCGCGGCACGGGCTGGAGAAGAGATGGAGTGATGTGGTACAGGAGGACGTGGAGCTGAGTGGACTTGCCGATGACTGGTACCAGCGGTGTCAAGATCGGCCTCAGTGGAGGAGGCTCGTGAAGGACGCTACTGGGCAGTTGGAGGCAGTCGCCCTCCAACAACAACGGAGGGCGGAGGAGCGACGCTCACAACAACGAGCGGAGCGCCGGGTGGCTAAAGCACAGCAAGTTGGCACAGTAGGGGGCACAGGTGGTGCATCAGCCAGTCATCTCAGTCATCTCGGTCATCTCGGTCAGTCGACCCGTGGCACCTGCTGGGTCTGCCCCGTGACCTCCTGCCAGCGGGCTTTCGACACTTCACGTGGCCTCAAGGTGGACTTGGCCTGGCACAAGCATCGTGGTGACGTCACCGCCACTTAGTGGCGAATGGCGGTTGTTGTTGTTGTATGTGTGTGTATCTGTGTATGTACCTGTGTGTATGTGTGTGTATGTGTGTGTATGTACCTGTGTGTATCTGTATATGTGTGTGTGTATGTGTGTGTATCTGTGTATGTACCTGTGTGTATGTGTGTGTATGTGTGTGTATGTGTGTGTATCTGTGTGTGTATATGTGTGTGCAGCGCGCGAGGCGTGGAAGCGCCGCTACCTGCTTGAGAAGAGAGCGACCCCGGCGCTGGAGGAAGAGCTGCGTCCCGTGCGGGAGGAGCTGGACGCACTGCTGTCCCGCAACGCGCACCTCACCGCCACCGCCACCACCACCACCACCACGCTCAAGGTCACTCCTCATCTCATCACTACCACCACCACCACCACCACACTCAAGGTCACTCATCATCTCATCACTACCGCCACCACCACCACACTCAAGGTCACTCAACAAACATCTCATCACTACCGCCACCACCACCACCACACTCAAGGTCACTCATCATCTCATCACTACCACCACCACCACCACCACGCTCAAGGTCACTCATCATCTCATCACTACCACCACCACCACCACCACCACCACACTCAAGGTCACTCATCATCTCATCACTACCGCCACCACCACCACACTCAAGGTCACTCATCATCTCATCACTACCGCCACCACCACGACACTCAAGGTCACTCATCATCTCATCACTACCGCCACCACCACCACGCTCAAGGTCACTCATCATCTCATCACTACCACCACCACCACCACGCTCAAGGTCACTCATCATCTCATCACTACCGCCACCGCCACCACCACGCTCAAGGTCACTCATCATCTCATCACTACCGCCACCACCACCACACTCAAGGTCACTCAACAAACATCTCATCACTACCGCCACCGCCACCACCACACTCAAGGTCACTCATCATCTCATCACTACCGCCACCACCACCACACTCAAGGTCACTCAACAAACATCTCATCACTACCGCCACCACCACCACCACACTCAAGGTCACTCATCATCTCATCACTACCCGCCACCACCACCACACTCAAGGTCACTCATCATCTCATCACTACCGCCACCACCACCACGACACTCAAGGTCACTCATCATCTCATCACTACCGCCACCACCACCACACTCAAGGTCACTCATCATCTCATCACTACCGCCACCACCACGACACTCAAGGTCACTCATCATCTCATCACTACCGCCACCACCACCACGCTCAAGGTCACTCATCATCTCATCACTACCGCCACCACCACCACCACACTCAAGGTCACTCATCATCTCATCACTACCGCCACCACCACCACGACACTCAAGGTCACTCATCATCTCATCACTACCGCCACCACCACCACCACACTCAAGGTCACTCATCATCTCATCACTACCGCCACCACCACACTCAAGGTCACTCAACAAACATCTCATCACTACCGCCACCACCACCACCACCACACTCAAGGTCACTCATCATCTCATCACTACCGCCACCACCACCACACTCAAGGTCACTCATCATCTCATCACTACCGCCACCACCACCACGCTCAAGGTCACTCATCATCTCATCACTACCGCCACCACCACCACACTCAAGGTCACTCCTCATCTCATCACTACCGCCACCGCCACCACCACGCTCAAGGTCACTCATCATCTCATCACTACCGCCACCACCACCACACTCAAGGCCACTCAACAAACATCTCATCACTACCGCCACCACCACCACCACACTCAAGGTCACTCATCATCTCATCACTACCGCCACCACCACCACACTCAAGGTCACTCATCATCTCATCACTACCGCCACCACCACCACGCTCAAGGTCACTCATCATCTCATCACTACCGCCACCACCACCACACTCAAGGTCACTCCTCATCTCATCACTACCGCCACCACCACGACACTCAAGGTCACTCATCATCTCATCACTACCGCCACGACCACCACACTCAAGGTCACTCATCATCTCATCACTACCGCCACCACCACCACACTCAAGGTCACTCATCATCTCATCACTACCGCCACCACCACGACACTCAAGGTCACTCATCATCTCATCACTACCGCCACCACCACCACACTCAAGGTCACTCATCATCTCATCACTACCGCCACCACCACCACCACACTCAAGGTCACTCATCATCTCATCACTACCGCCACCACCACCACACTCAAGGCCACTCAACAAACATCTCATCACTACCGCCACCACCACCACCACACTCAAGGTCACTCATCATCTCATCACTACCACCACCACCACCACCACACTCAAGGTCACTCATCATCTCATCACTACCGCCACCACCACCACACTCAAGGTCACTCATCGTCTCATCACTACCGCCACCACCACGACACTCAAGGTCACTCATCATCTCATCACTACCGCCACCACCACCACGCTCAAGGTCACTCATCATCTCATCACTACCACCACCACCACCACGCTCAAGGTCACTCATCATCTCATCACTACCGCCACCCGCCACCACCACGCTCAAGGTCACTCATCATCTCATCACTACCGCCACCACCACCACACTCAAGGTCACTCATCATCTCATCACTACCGCCACCACCACCACACTCAAGGTCACTCAACAAACATCTCATCACTACCGCCACCCACCACCACCACACTCAAGGTCACTCATCATCTCATCACTACCGCCACCACCACCACACTCAAGGTCACTCATCATCTCATCACTACCGCCACCACCACCACGACACTCAAGGTCACTCATCATCTCATCACTACCGCCACCACCACCACACTCAAGGTCACTCATCATCTCATCACTACCGCCACCACCACGACACTCAAGGTCACTCATCATCTCATCACTACCGCCACCACCACCACGCTCAAGGTCACTCATCATCTCATCACTACTGCCACCACCACCACCACACTCAAGGTCACTCATCATCTCATCACTACCGCCACCACCACCACGACACTCAAGGTCACTCATCATCTCATCACTACCGCCACCACCACCACCACACTCAAGGTCACTCATCATCTCATCACTACCGCCACCACCACACTCAAGGTCACTCAACAAACATCTCATCACTACCGCCACCACCACCACCACACTCAAGGTCACTCATCATCTCATCACTACCGCCACCACCACCACACTCAAGGTCACTCATCATCTCATCACTACCGCCACCACCACCACGCTCAAGGTCACTCATCATCTCATCACTACCGCCACCACCACCACACTCAAGGTCACTCCTCATCTCATCACTACCGCCACCGCCACCACCACGCTCAAGGTCACTCATCATCTCATCACTACCGCCACCACCACCACACTCAAGGCCACTCAACAAACATCTCATCACTACCGCCACCACCACCACCACACTCAAGGTCACTCATCATCTCATCACTACCGCCACCACCACCACACTCAAGGTCACTCATCATCTCATCACTACCGCCACCACCACCACGCTCAAGGTCACTCATCATCTCATCACTACCCGCCACCGCCACCACCACGCTCAAGGTCACTCATCATCTCATCACTACCCGCCACCACCACCACACTCAAGGCCACTCAACAAACATCTCATCACTACCGCCACCACCACCACCACACTCAAGGTCACTCATCATCTCATCACTACCGCCACCACCACCACACTCAAGGTCACTCATCATCTCATCACTACCCGCCACCACCACGACACTCAAGGTCACTCATCATCTCATCACTACCGCCACCACCACCACACTCAAGGTCACTCATCATCTCATCACTACCGCCACCACCACCACCACACTCAAGGTCACTCATCATCTCATCACTACCGCCACCACCACCACACTCAAGGCCACTCAACAAACATCTCATCACTACCGCCACCCACCACCACCACACTCAAGGTCACTCATCATCTCATCACTACCGCCACCACCACCACACTCAAGGTCACTCATCATCTCATCACTACCGCCACCACCACCACGCTCAAGGTCACTCATCATCTCATCACTACCGCCACCACCACCACACTCAAGGTCACTCCTCATCTCATCACTACCGCCACCACCACGACACTCAAGGTCACTCATCATCTCATCACTACCGCCACCACCACCACACTCAAGGTCACTCATCATCTCATCACTACCGCCACCACCACCACACTCAAGGTCACTCATCATCTCATCACTACCGCCACCACCACGACACTCAAGGTCACTCATCATCTCATCACTACCGCCACCACCACCACACTCAAGGTCACTCATCATCTCATCACTACCGCCACCACCACCACCACACTCAAGGTCACTCATCATCTCATCACTACTGCCACCACCACGACACTCAAGGTCACTCATCATCTCATCACTACCGCCACCACCACCACGCTCAAGGTCACTCATCATCTCATCACTACCGCCACCACCACCACCACACTCAAGGTCACTCATCATCTCATCACTACCCGCCACCACCACCACACTCAAGGTCACTCAACAAACATCTCATCACTACCGCCACCACCACCACCACCACCACACTCAAGGCCACTCATCATCTCATCACTACCACCACCACCACCACACTCAAGGTCACTCATCATCTCATCACTACCGCCACCACCACCACACTCAAGGTCACTCAACAAACATCTCATCACTACCGCCACCACCACCACCACCACCACACTCAAGGTCACTCCTCATCTCATCACTACCGCCACCACCACCACCACACTCAAGGTCACTCATCATCTCATCACTACCGCCACCACCACGACACTCAAGGTCACTCATCATCTCATCACTACCGCCACCACCACCACACTCAAGGTCACTCATCATCTCATCACTACCGCCACCACCACCACCACACTCAAGGTCACTCATCATCTCATCACTACCGCCACCGCCACCACCACGCTCAAGGTCACTCATCATCTCATCACTACCGCCACCACCACCACACTCAAGGCCACTCAACAAACATCTCATCACTACCGCCCACCACCACCACCACACTCAAGGTCACTCATCATCTCATCACTACCGCCACCACCACCACACTCAAGGTCACTCATCATCTCATCACTACCGCCACCCACCACCACGCTCAAGGTCACTCATCATCTCATCACTACCGCCACCACCACCACACTCAAGGTCACTCCTCATCTCATCACTACCGCCACCGCCACCACCACGCTCAAGGTCACTCATCATCTCATCACTACCGCCACCACCACCACACTCAAGGCCACTCAACAAACATCTCATCACTACCGCCA